TTTTTTTTTTATTTTTAAATTTACAACAAAATTTTTTTTAATTTTCGAAAATCATAAACAATTATATCGGTTACGAGGATTTTTTAATTTTTTTATTTTTTATCTTTTTGTAAAGAAAAAACTAATTTTTTTTTTCTTAATAGTCTTATGAATGTGGACTTGGCGCGATTTTTTTACAGTGAAACTTTTTTTGTTCGGATTTTAGTATTTTTTTTAATTATAATAAAAATTTACAATTGATACCAACTTAAATCTCGCGTTGGGTGCATTTTTTTTATAGCAAACTATTCCCTTGAGGCTACAGTTTATGTAAAAATAATTCTAGCGCACCCTGGCGGGTGTAGATGCAAGTTGTGAAATATCTTTTTTTAACTGTAGTGTCCCATCTTATGAAGGATTACTATGCATTCTCGAATATTTTAGTCTGTGGCAGATCACTTTGCCCATCGAAAAAAAGTCAGGATCGAAATTTTTGCGTTGCTATAGTTTGTGCTGATTAAATTTATTAATTTCAAGTAGATTAATTGTTATAAGTGAATATAATTAATTAATAACAGTAAAATAAAGTATGAATTACTGTTATAATATACAATTTAGGAAAAAAAAGTACCGTAGAATTAAATAAAATTTTGCAACCTCAAAATACCGTTCTGCTTACAGTAAACACAGTCGGTAGTCTGGCGCTCCGTTGACAACGGATTTGAACGGAACTTGGCGCCAGATTCTACCGAATCTGTGGATATTATAGAGCCGCCATCTAGCGGAATAAAAAGAAACTTCTTAACGAATTGTACCTCTGTATGATTTGAGATATATTTATTTGTGGCGCGTCGGTCGGTCGGTGTCCTTTTGCGTCTATATAATTTCTCCCTCAAAACTTAACCTATCTTTAGTGTTCACTATTCACGTTACTACGATTTATAAACACGTGGTGTAAAATAATTATATTGAATAGTAAATTTAACAAGATAGTTTTAGTTTATTTTTTTAATAAATATTGTAATGAAATAAGTAATTACAATGAAGACAAATAATAATAAAATGGGTGTTAAATCCAGTGGTAAAACAACGGAGTCTACTTTGAGTAAAGCGGTTAAAAATGTTAAAGAAATTTTAATTAAGGTAAGAATTTTATTTTCTTTTTTTTTTTACTCTAAAATAATTTTTATTGAAAGTTTTAAATAATTATTTATATTTATTAAATATCAAAAATTTTAGAGTTGAATTTTTTTTTTATTTTTGCTTCTAAAATTGTGATTTTTGAGAAGTTTATTATGATGCAATATTAAAAAAAAAAAAACTTTTTAAATTATTGTCAGTAAAATCTGGATTGAAAACTAATTAACAAAAATTTTAATAAACAAATTTTCATTAAAAATTAAAAAATATTTAACTTTCATGATTTTTCAAAAAGTAAATGAAAAATATTATTGTTACTACTACAAAAATTAATAACTATTTTTTTTTTTTAGTTAAATATTTAATTTTTCTGTAAAATGTACCTTAAAAAAATTTTTTTTTCAAAAAAATATATTGAAATTTAAAAACATCTGAAAATTTTTAGAAATTTTTTAACTAATAAATAATATCAAAAAAAATTATTTAAAAAATTCTATTTTTAGACATTAAAAGTTTATGTGCAATTTTTAAAAAATAATTTTTTTCTCAGTTTATTATTAAAAAAATTGTCTGCTAATTTCAATATGATAACATATTTTATGAAGATTAAGTTAGCTGACCTAAAAATTTTTTTAATTTTTTTTATTGAAAAAAATTATTACAAACAATAAAAAAAAAATTGACAGAAAATTTGAAAAACTGTAAGTGTAATTTAAAAAAAAATATGTTTTAGTCCTTATTTAATAAATAAAACGAAATCAAAAAATTTTTAGAATTTTTTCCTTTGAAAAATTATTACAAAAAAATGAAAAATTTTATTTTTAAAAACTTGAAAAACTACGTGCAATTTTTCAAAAATATTTCTAAGTTTTAATTAAAAAAAAAAAAAACTATATATAATTTTTGTTACCTTACTTACAAAAATATTTTTTATTTATTTTTTTATAATTAAAAAAAAAATTTAATACAATTATTTAAAAAAAAAAAAATTGATCTCTAATTATTTCTCAATAAATTTTAGAACACTGAAGCAAAAGAAAAGAAGCAAAAAAAGCTATCAAAATCCTCAAAAGAAGAAAATATAATAAAATTAAAGAGCGAAGACTCACCAGCAGCTGCAGCCATCTCCAAAAAATCCAGTAAAATCCTCAAGAAATTAACAAAATCCAAGTCAGCTGACCCCGAAATAGAAAAAGAACGCGGTGTTGTTTACATCGGCCACCTTCCTCACGGGTTCTACGAGGAACAAATGAGGGTATTTTTCTCAAAATTCGGCGAGGTGACAAACGTCCGCGTGTCGCGTTCTAAAGTGTCCGGAAAGTCGCGAGGTTATGGATTCATCGAGTTTGCGCATGCGCAAGTCGCCAAAATAGCCGCCGAGAGTATGAACAACTACCTGATGTTCGGGAGACTGGTTAAAACCGAGTACATTCCGCCGGAGAAGCAGCACGATTGGTATTTCAGAGGTCTGTCTTACACCCGTAGAAGCTTCCCCAAGTTGTGGAACAGGAGGCTCCATGTTCAGAGGATCAACGGCAAAATCCTTGGTAAGGATCCTGTCAAGGACATCATCGTCAGTAAGATTGACAAGAGTTCGGGTGAAGAAAAGGAGACCAGGGACTTGGAAGTTAGGAAGAAACTCTGGAGCTTGAATCTTCTCGCCAGCAGGCTCAAGAAAAAGGGAGTCAAGATTGACATGAAGTTGGGGGATGTTTCTATCTAGAGGTTAATGGCTTATTATTATTTTTATTAATTATTGATAATTATGATTATGATAATAAAGGTGATTTTTGTTTAATTTTTTGGATTGATATTTTTTGATAATTATTTTAGTCTTCTTTTTTTAGGAAATTATTTAGTGCAGAAGAAATTACTGAGAATTTTCTTAGTAGAAATTAATTAATTTTCTTATTTTTTAGGAAATTATTGAGAATAACAATGAAAGAAGAAATTATTGAGACCCTGATTGAAAAAAAAAAAAAAATGGTCATATTGCATTTAGTGACCTCTTCTGAATTTTTTTTTTTTTTTTAAATAACGAGAAAAAATTAATAAAAAATTTCTTAATGATAATTATTAAATTTTTTTTTTTCTAGAAAATTATTAAGGCTCAGGTTGAGAAAAAAAAAGAATTCGCTGTATTAAATTTGGCGACTTTTTATTATTTAATTTTTTTTTTTTATCAAGGCAAGGAAAAAATAAGAATTTTCTTAGTAAAAAATACTTTTTTTATCATTAAGAAAATTATTTATAAAAAAAAATACTAATGAGGGTCTTAATAAAAATAAATTAATTTTTTTCTATTATTAAAAAAAAATAAGCGAATTTTAAAGTGTTGAAATATTTTACAAATTTAATTTTTTATAAAAGGTACTTTGATCGAAATTACTGAAAAATATTTCTTGATAGTATTTTTAATGGAGAATTAATTTTTGATTGAAAATATTTCTTTTAAGATTTTAATTATTATTTATTTATTTATTTCTTTACATAGACCCAACAGCAATAGCCAATAACAGAGTCACTAGAGAATAACTTTAACGTCCTTTTACAAGATTATTTATTACATATAAAAGAAAAAGTATAAACAATAAAGTTTTAATGCACTTGCATTTTGAGAAAAAGAAAAACTGAAAAATTTGTGTTTTTAAATTTGAAAATTTAGCCAAAAACATTTAAATTGGTAATGATACGTTGTTGAGTCGAATAATACAATTTAATATCGAAAATCTCAAGGAAAAAAAAAAAAATATTTGAATTAAGCCAAGTTTCATTTAAAACACAGACATTACACTCAACAGATATTAATTACAAAGTATTTTGACTTAAGGCCACGAGCGTTGATTATTATTATTTACATCATAAAATTTTTTATAAATTGGTAAACAAAATTATGAATCAACAAAATTCATTAGTTTTGTTTAGTACAATGAAAAATTTTTGAAAAAAATTAATTTTTTTAGAATTTTCGTAATACGAAACAATTAATTAAAAATTTTAAGATATTACATAAAGTAAACTAAAATTAATTTGACAGATGAGATTTATATGTAAAATAAAATTTAAAAATTTATTATCAATTCTATTGTCTAATTATAATAATAGTAATAATAATAACATGAAAAATTTTCAAGCCAAAATTAATTTATTTATTATTAAATTTTAGAATTGAAATTTATTATTATCATTATTATTGAAAAAAAAGGTTTACAGTATCAACAAAAAAAATAATGATAGTAATAATAATAATACTTTAAAGTATAAGTAAAAACAAAGTTTAACTGATGTCTTCTATTTTTAGGATTTAAGGAAATGGCGAGTAAATAAACGATCAGTTTAAGAACGAATTTATTATGATTTATTTTATAACTTAAAATTTATTACTTATTTTCATTGATTTTTTTAAAATAATAATTAAATTTACAATTTTTATGAGACTTAATTAAACTTTTCAATTAATCTCTAATTTTTTGATTCAGTTGATAACTGGAGGATAAATTATTGTGTTTTTGGTTCTTTTCCATTTCATTCTTCTGTTCTGAAACCAAACTTTTACCTGAAATTTCAATAATTATAATAAGTAAACAATTTTTAGTTAAAATAAAAAAAATATTCAAAATATTAGTATTATATTACTTGACGTTCAGTAAGATCAAGAGTGACAGCTATTTCGTATCTGCGTAAGCGTGTCAAATAATTGCTCCGTAAAAATTCTATTTCCAATTGTTTTATCTGAGTTTTATTAAATGCCGTTCTTTCTTTACGCAATTTGTTGCTGCTAGGTGATAATTTTTTATCTTTCTTTTTTGTACCTGTAATAGCGATTAGTATATCACTAGAAAAAAATTTTTTTTTATTTAAAACTAATTTTATATCATTAATAATTTATTCTTATTCAAATAATTTTGAGTTACAATGAGATTTATTTTTTTTCATAATTTAATTTTTAAGTCGGTCAATTTTTATTATTATTATTATTATTATTATTATTAAAATTCTAGTATTTATTTTTTTTTAGGAAAAAAATAGTAACGAGTTTTTTATTTAAATAAAGCGGTATTTCTTTTATGACATCATATTATTGTAGATTAAAATCATACATTAACCATAACTCTTATATATATGTACATATATGAGATATATAAGACAATCCTTACCCGGAAGATATTATTTATATATGTTTTCAAGTGTAATAAAAAAATTTATATATATTACGCTTGAACAATATAACTCACGATCTGTCACAGAAAAAGTATTTTATAACATTTAAGATAATAATAATTATAATAGTAATGTAAAAAATTCAAGTCAAATTTTATTATTATTATCTATATTATTAAGAGAATAAGCAAAATTTTGTGGATAGTGTATTTATATGATAAAATGTCACCAATAGTCATTCTCACCAATAGTCAATTTATGATGATAAGTATTTAGGCTGCATTCGAAAATCCTCTATCTCTAGATACATAATTAAGAAATGACCTTGTTTCTCGTGAACTCTTGACATTTTTAAAGATATAAGCTCATCCTGATGTTATACTCATCAAGACCTTTCATTTAAGTACCCACATCATTTTTTCATATATTTATATATATGTAATATATATGAAAAATCCTATAATAAAATAGAGATGAAATGTATGTGGCATCAAACTATTCGTAACGTGATTGGTCGAAAATAAATATTCTCATTCTGATAGGTTGAAAGTGAATATACTATACATAAACGACACATAAATATATCATGACAATAAATATGACGCGTGCGCTTGCGCGCGAAAATTAAATTCTAGTCCTATAATAAAATTGAGATGAAATATATGTGGCATCAAACTATTCGTAACGTGATTGGTCGAATATATCATAAGCATGAAAATATATGCAAACTTTATAGTCAAGGCGCGCGCTTGCGCGCGAAAATTAAATTCTAGTATATCAAAATGCATGTGGGTACTCAAATGAAAGCTCTTGGTTAGTGTAACATCAGGATGAGCTTATATCTTTAAAAACGTCAATAGTAAAATGATTACAGTGCAATTTAACAAAAGTCATTATTTAATAAATCAAAATTTTATTTATTTACAGTTAACAAGTCACGGCAGTCACATAGTGATTGCAAGGTTGCTAGTTATTATTATTATTATTATTATTATTATTATTATTATTATTATTATTGTTATTGTTATTATTGAAACTGTCAACTTTTTTGCAATAACAATAATAATGTTAATAATAATAATTTTAATATTTTATTTTTTCTAAAGACTGATTTTATAATACTTAATAGATATTTTCTGACGTAAGTCATTAAATTTTCAGTTTATTGGCAATCTGGTCTAATTCAACAATTAATTTAGATCCGGGTTCGAGTCCTGGTTTGGGCCGCCCGAATCATTTTTTCAGTCAAATTTATCTTTAATGACAAATTTAGATATGAATTGAGGATAAATTGTTTATGCCTGGAGGGAAATACAGGCTAAAAATATAACGAAAAATTAGAGAAAAAAAATTGTTGTATTAGACTGGATAGCTAATAAACTGAAAATTTAATGACTTACATCAGAAAATATCTGTAAAATAATAATAATAATAATCACATAAAAAATTCAAGTCAAATTTTATTATTATTATTATTATTATTATTATTATTATTATTATTATTATTATTATTATTATTATTATTATTATTATTATTGGTGGAACCGTCAACTTATTTCATAAATAATTAAAACAATAATAATAAAGTTTAACTTCACAATTTTCTCATATAATTATTATTAAAATTTTTTTTTAAATTTTTTATTATGTAAGATCAATAAAAAAAGGTTGACAAATCAGAAGTAATAAAAAGAGATTTATTAATGCAAATATTTATGAAATAAAGAGAGGGTCAGTTATAGTTTAAGTCATATGGACATCTGATGTATAAAACATTAAATTATCTCCCGTAAATACGTACATACATACATGTATGTACTGTATAGTCCATATTATTACGATGTAGGATGGAGGACGGAAGATGAAGGTAAAGACAACTTACCATATTCGGAGGTTGAAGACTTGACAGCCAGGTCTTCAAACTCTTGCGTATCTTCGATATGTTCGATCTGATCTGCGGGAATCTCGGTACCGTTTATTGTCGAGTAATTGCAACTATTTTCTTCTCTTGGTATCGATAACAATCCGCTTGAATTTTCCCACGAGTTTGATTTCATTTCACTGTTGATAGTTTTTTCTTCGTATGAAAAATTTTCATCTCCATTTCTTAAATAATCATTTAATAATTATAATTAATAACTATTTTTTTAATAAAAAAAAAAAAACAAATTTTTTTTCTACTTACTGAAAGTAATAATTATTAAAATTATTAACTTGATAGCCATAAAAATAATTTGAATTTTGTATAAATTGATGATTGAAAAAATTATCAGAATTTTCTGTCGTAAATGTCGGTGTTGAAATTTCTTGATAATTACCGTCGTAATTTTTTGATAAATATTCCATTGAAAAAATTTAACAAATAAATTACGAATTACAATAGTTGTTGTAAAATATTGAAAAAAAATATTTTTTGTTGAATAATTTCAAATTGAAGAGAAATCGGAGCGGTGGATGTTTAAACAAATAGATGCAAATGACTAATGACTGATGAGACTACTGCTAAAGAGATCTTAAACATAAACTTGTCGCTTTGTGCGTATGATGCACATGTACAGTGCAAAGAAATAAAAACCGACGACTGACCAATCGTACGTCGTGTGGATTGTGACGAAACTAGTTCATCTTTATCTCGATCTAAGTTTTTACTGTCCTTTAAATAGGACAATTGTAAAAATTGAAGTACATTGATTATCGGCGTCAATGCAGTAGAAAAATTTTGTTAATTTTTGACAGACACTATTAATATGAATTGTTGAAAGATATTTCAAAAAAAAATTATAATTGACAAGTTAAGATAATACTGCATTAATTTTGAGCGTCAACGCAGTCGAAAAATTTTCTTAGATATTCAGAGACACTGTCAAGATAAGATTTTTGAAAGATAATTTTATTTACAGTCTAAAATTGTTAAAAATTACTCTAAAACACGACCAATTTTGATGCGATATTTTTGCCAAAAATGACTATAGTACTAGAAAAATCAATCGAATATTACATTGATTTTGAGTCAACGCAGCCTGAAATTATTGTAAGTTTAAAAAAAACTATAAATTTAAATTATTTTAACGATTATCCTGATTGATATCGATGATTAGAATTTCAATAACACACTACGTTGATTTTAAGAGTCAATGCAATAAAGTTTGGAAAATCCAAAAGTGCACGCCTCCCAACGTTCCCGTTATTTTTAAGATGGACGGTGTGGCTTAATGTATATAGAATAAGTGAAAGGAAATTTAGTATAGACCGGATAGCTCAAATGGTAGAGTAGCCGACATGTCTTCGGAAGGTTCTGGGTTCGAATCCCAGTCCGAGCTATCTAATAATTTTTTCTCGCATATTCTATACACTCACATTAAGAAGTTCCTCTCCATAATCCTTTCTCAATCCTTTCCTATCAATTATCCTGTTACGTGAATGTTGGAACGCTTCACGTAATAATTATCCGTAACTCCTATTCTTTCCCGCTTCACAGCATTATTTATATTTGTTACGTTCCGAGTTATTTTTAAGAAAAAATAAATTGTGTAATTGATTAAAAAAAAAAAATTATAATTAAGTAATTTCTTACAGAGTATTTTGTTTTTTTAAATATCAGCGCTCTTTTTTCTTATCATATGCGCACACAGTCTAAAAAATCTAGCTATATCAAGTGGCGCTATAGTTTTCACGTGACAAATAAGAAAAATTCGTTTGTTTTTGTACGGTTGTATCGTAGTGAATTTTCATAAAAATTCAATTTAAAAAAAAAAATACGTAAACTAGGCTACTGATAAAAACTTAAACTAATAAAAAAGGTCCGGTCTTGAAATATCAATTTGTTCGGGAGTAATCGTTGGTATGGGGTGACATCCGGACGACCACGTAAAATTTTTTTCAAAACGTTTTTTTCTTCATAATAGCTACATGAAATGATTTTAGAACGTAAAAGATGATTTAATTTAAGTGTTTTCTCGGTGTACATCTACTTATATTATTGTATAAGTGTAATATAGTTGTGATGGAGACATTTAAAGATCACAAAATTGCTTGACCTTGACGAGTCGAGTATAAAGCACAACCTCATGCGCTTCGCGCTATGAGGCGTGCAATAAAATGACTTTGTTTTGAAAATTTTATGCATTATTCTCAAAAAATACAAAAAATCAATGTATTTACTTACCAGTGCATTGATTATGAGTATCAATGCAGTCAAAAAATTTCGTTAGATATTTGGAGATACCTATATTGAGATAACATTCATAAAAGAGAATTTTAAGAAAAACCCACACAGTAAAAAATATTGTGTAAAATCAACACAGTTTGTGTGTTAAAAATGGTTGACACAAAATATGTGTTGAAATTTCAACACAAATTTTGTGTAACCCCTTTTTAATACAAAGATTATGTTGAAATATCGCCTCGCCACAAGAGGGCGCAAAGAATCATACACTTCTAAAGTGTCAATCTTAACACAAAATAAATGTTAAATAAATTTATTTATTTTCATCAACTGTTTGATGCCTATAACATAATCTATAAAATAATTTTTTTTTATTTTCTCAACTGCAGTAAATAATATTTATTTAAAAATGTTTTTTTTTATCATTTACATTTTAACGAAACATCAACAATTACCGACTATAAATAATTGGAAGGAAGAAAGTATGAAAAATTTTTAATAATTAAATCAAAAAATAATTTATAGGTTTTAAAAGTGAAGCAGCAGAGTTATAAATTTATGAAAATGAAGTTAACCGTACATTTAAAACTTTTAGAAATTTTTTATTGAAAAAATTTAGATTTAACAATTAAAAAAAAAAAATGTCACATCTAAAAAACTTTAAAAACTAGAAGTGCAATTTTTTAGAAATATCTTTTTAGTTGTAATTTATGTAATAAAAAAAATTAAAAATTTTTAGACGTCAGCTAACTTCAGTGTCATATAAATTTAATTGTCTTTATTATTTAATATTTATTATATTTTCGTGAAAATATTTGCTGCGTAAAGTGAAGAATCGACGGGCTGTCAACACAAAGTTGATGTTATATTAATGACGAGTTTGACACAAAATTTGTGTTCATTGCCCAGTAACATACAAAATATATTAATAAAGAGTATATAACACATTTTTTATGTTACAAAAGAAAATGACACAAGCTTTGTGTTATTTTAACACAAACCGTTTTCGACACAAATACACAATATTTTTTACTGTGCAGCATTAATTTACCGTCACGTTTTTAATGCGTTAATCTTGACGGAAAAAGTTTTAAGAGTTTTTTTTATGCAGAAACATTATAAACACCGTAAAAAGTTTTTTTTACTGTGCACACTTGAAAAATTAATATAATAATAGTATATTGATATTGATATTGATATTGAGCGGCAATACAGTGAAAAATGCCATAGGTTACTTTAAAACACCATCAATCTAAATTTTGATGCGATATTTTTGCCAAAAATTGTTAGTTCAAAAACAAATTGAATATTACACTGATTTTGAGCGTCAATGCAGCCTAAAATGTTCTTAATTACTTTAACACAATATCAATCTTAATTTCTATGCGGTATTTTTGCAAAAAATTACTAGTTGAAAGACGAATATTATATTACATTGATTTTGAGCGCCAATGCAGTCTAAAATGTTCTTAATTACTTTAACACACTATCAATCTAAATTTATATGCAATATTTTTGCAAAAAATTACTAGTTGAAAGACGATTATTATATTACAATGATTTTGAGCGTCAATGCAACCCCAAAACTTAATTAATAGTACAAAGGCACTTCAAATTCAAATTTCAACGCTGTATTGTCAAGAAAAAAAAAAGCTATTAATCGAGATGCTTACTCACAAATGCATTGATTTTAAGCGTCAATGCATCATTGAAAAATAATTAATTATAAAATGTCTTTTTATCGAACATTTCTCAACATTATTGTCAAAAAATACTATAAATTAAAATGTTTACTTACAATTGCATTTCCAAAAAAATTCCTTTAATTTAAATTTTACTTTTATATTAAAAATCTTCAAGTTCCAAATCGACGGTCTAATTAGTAATTTGTCTAACTCCATATTTTTTAAAGGGTGATTTTTTTACCATTTTGATGTAGCCATAATCAAATTATAAATTATTTGAATGATTCAAACCTAAATATTATATCTCTAATAGATAATAATGATATTAAATGGTTTTTTAAAGTGATAATAAATTTTAAACTAATTGTTTTTTTCATCCAAATGGAAGATTCTCTAAAATGGAGTTAGACAATTTACTAATTAGAATGTCGAAATACCACATAAAAACCAAAATACAATTATATATCTTATAATACAACACAAAATAATCTGCAACCATTAAATTTCATACATCTTACATATCTTATAAACAGAAAACCGTAATAATAAAAAAGGCTCTAAAATTCAGGCGCGATGATTGCATCAGTTTAAAAACAGACATACTCAAGAAACAGATACACTAAAATCAGTCTATTATAATAAAACTTACTATCACTATATAATTTACCCACATATGTTAACATATCAATACATATATACAAACTAAACACACATACACATCAATGAAGAAATGTAAATGTAAATATAATCGAACTACAATATGGCCACAAGCTTTAAAGCTTAAAGCTCGAGTACATCTAACGCTTTTTTACTCTCCTCTTCTTTTAATATTTATAAACTTCTGCATCTTATAACTTTTTCCTTCAACCGAGCACCAGTTCGGCATCAACATCAGCAACGTTAACATCTTTTAAAAGTAAAACTTAAGTGACTTGAATAAATAAACAATTTTACCTTTTAAAAAACTTTTATTAATAACTCAAAGTTTAAAAATATTTAAAAAATGGACAGCCGTTGGAGAAATGCAGGTAAAATTAAAATAATTAATAATTTAATAAATGATTAATTTAATTATTGATTTACGGTTTGATGATTTTTTTTGTAAACAAGGAATCGCTGAAATAACAATGCAAGCGTATGCAGACCGCCACGGATTGTCTGCCGGAAGAAATGAATCCGATAGTATTTGTTGGCGGCCCAGGGCCAAACCAATTGCATTGACCATTGTTTGCATTATTATTGTGTCTTTGGCGGTTTACTGGCTGATTGTCGGCCCGATTTTTGAGAGCCAGAAGCAGAGAGGCAAGATCAGTCGGGGAGAACGCAATTGTGATTGAGTTTTTATTTATGTGAAAGATTGTATTGATTTTTGATAATTAATTTTAATAAATTTAATGGAGAACTTATTGATAATTTTTTTGGTTTATTTGGTGTGTTTCGCTCCTGGGAGAAACATATTTTAATTTCAGACCAATCGGATCAAAAGTTTGGAAAACCCAAAGTGCACGCCTCATAATCTCATTTTTTAAAATAAAATATAGAAAGCAAAATAATAAAAAACAGAAAACTCTGCTATAGTTTAGTGGCGCCATAACTGCAAAGTGAGGAAAAAAAAATACTATAATAAAATGTATAGATAGAAATACAAAAAAATCCACAGTTATATATTAGTTTTTTATAAATAATAATTTAACGACAGTGAATTGAACGCTCATATTAACTAAGAAATTCTGTCGTGTGTTACTTTAGATAATTAAAAAAAAATTATTCCGGTAGGATTATTTTTTCGACCAATCATTCCCTGCCACAAACACCCATTCATACACGGACGTCCAAAAAAGATTATGTTTAATGTTAATATTTATTATGTTAAACAAAAAAATTGTTATTGAAATATATTTTATGTGCCTGAAAAATTATTTGACTTGACATAAGTGTACTCATTTTAACCTGTAAGTGCAATATAAATAACAAAAAATCAATTTCAGTTTCGACAAAATTGCTTTTTTCGAAATGTCGAGAGTAAAGCACAACCTCAACGCTTCGCTTATAAGGCGTGCAGTGGGTTCTGAGATATTGAGGAAAAACGGGCTACATTGATTTTGAGAGGCAATGCCGGTGGAAAAATTAGTGGGTGGTCAAAGGGGGCGAAGGGGCGGGGATCGCAGTGAAATCGAGCCTGTTTTTTTTGGAGAACGTTGATTGGGGTAGTGGGGGTAGAGTGCATTGATTTTAAGCGTCAATGCAGTACGAAATGTCGTTGGTTGACTAAAAATAGCCTTTACAAAAAGTTTGAAATTTTTTTTAGCGATAAACATTTAAATTGAAATATTGAGTAATTAAAATGCATTGATTTTTAGTGTCAATGCAGTAAAAATGATCTTAATTGTATAAGCTGACGCATAATTTAAATTTAAACGAGGTATTGTTAAGAATTAGTACTTATTAAGATGTTTATTTAGAAATGCATTGATACTGAGCGTCAATGCAGTGAAAGATATGATTGATTGTAGAAAATTACTCTTACTTGGGACTTTATTTAAAATTGTCAACAAATACTGCTATTTTAGATCCTTACTCACAAATACATTGATTTTGAGAGTCAATGCAGTCGAAAATTTCATTATATTAACTTAAAATAATTTTTTATTCAAAAATTTAACGTTATATTGTTAACAAATGCAACTTACCAAGAAGTTTACTAACAAATACATTGATTTTTAGCGTCAATGCAATAAAAATGTCATTAATTGTATAAATGACCTCTCATTGGAATGTAAACGAGGTATTGTTGACAATAAGTACTTATTAAAATGTTCACTTACAAATGCATTGATTTTGATCACCAATGCAGCGTACAAAATCAATATAATCATATAAAGCTACTTGTATTCTGAATTTGAACTCGACGTCATTAATTATTACTACTTATCATGCTATTTACCAATATACATTGCTTTTGGGCGTCAATGCAGTCAAAAATTTAATCATAATTAACTCAAAATAATTTTTTAATGAAAAATTTAACTCTATATTATTAACAAGTCCGACTTATCGAGAAGTTTACTATCAAATACATTGATTTCGAGCGTCAATGCGATTTGAAACATTATTAATATTATTTTATAAGATTACTTGTATTTGTAATTTTAACGTGACATTATTAATTAATTAATTATTACTCATCAATACGTTTACTAAATCATGCATTGATTTTGAGCTTCAATGCAGCAAAAAACCCTCCAAAAACACTTTTACTAAAAACTCTCAAGAGATGTTTCTTCTCCTACTTACAAAAACCTCCAAATAAAATCTTCCATTACCAATAAAAAAATATTTTCGTCTTTTTCTCCTCTTCACAAAATATATATAATTAAAAACAATTATTTAGTGCCTTTACTTCCTTATTTTTATTATAAATTCCTAGACTTCCTGCCTAGGAAAAATCAAATTTACAAACCACTCAAGCTTCCTGGAAATTAAAGTAAACCAATTGATTTTTCTTATTAATTTAGGTAAACTCCTTTAATACAACAATTGTTTAAAATTATTATTTCTTCTTTGACTTTTTTTAGAAATTTCAGCAAATAAATATTTATTAATTATACACCATTAAAATAATTTTGTTTATTTTTCTTAAATTCAAGCACAAATTACTCATAAATTTAGTCTACGTTTTTTGTTTTTTTCTTTTTCAAGTTCAAGTTACATATTAACAATACAAGGTCAATATGAAAGTCCATATATATATATATATTATATATATATATATATATATATATATATATATATAACAAAAGTTCAATTGTTACTTTTTTACAAAACAATCTTTTTTTTCTTTTGCAAAATGAAACAAGTTGTTTATAGTATTTACGAGCGGACTACTACTATATATATGTATATGGATATGGATGTATATGAATAAAAGGTATAAAAAATAAAAATATGTGGTTGTTGAAGGTAACCAGGATATTGGCGCAGTAAAGTTAAATGTTAACTGCAGCACACATGTCCGGATCCCCAGTTCTGTATATTCACTAAAAGCTTCCTATAGATGTATATATATAAATGTATATATATGTATATAGCTCGTGGGATATTTATAGTCTAATGGTGAACTTATATATATCGATATATATTTATGTAAACTCTTCCGCAATTTGTAAAAAAAATTTTAAAAAAAATAAATTAAGTTGACCCTAGAAAATTATTTAAAAAAATTAAGTAGAAAAAAAATATTATTTAATGAAGAAAATTTTATTAAAAAATTAAAAAAGATAAAAATTAAGTAAAGAAGAAAAATTTTTAAATGAAGAAAATTTGTAAGAAAAAAAAGGAAAAAAAATTAAGTAAAGAAGAAATATTATTAATATAGGAAAATTGTTAAAAGAAGAAAATTATTAAGAAAAAAATTTAGTGAAGACAAAATATTATTAAGAAAAAAAAACGAAGTAAAGAAGAAATATTTATAATATAAGAAAATTGTTAAAAGAAGAAATTAAGTAAAGAAGAAATATTATTAATATAAAATAATTGTTAAAAGAAGAAATTAAGTGAAGAAGAAAAATTGTTAAGTGAAGAAAATTATTAAGAAAAAAAATTGAATGAAGAAGAAATATTGTTAAGTGAAGAAAATTATTAAAAGAAGAAATTAAGTAAAGAAGAAATATTATTGAGAAAAAAAAATTAAATGAAGAAGAAATATTATTCAATAAAGAAAATAAAATTAAATTAAATCACGAAGAATAAATATGGAATTAAAAAAATTGTTAACAAAAATAAAAGAAAATTTAAGCCAAGAAGAAAATTTATTAAAAATGAAAAAAAATTAATAAAAAAAAAAAGTCGTTTTAAGAAAAATTATTGAATCAAAAAACTATTTTCAAGAGTGATCTTATTTAATTCAAAAATAATTTTTAAGTAACAAAAGATTTTTCTAAATCAAGAACTTTTTTTATATAAGCCAAAAAAATATCTTAAAAATGATTTTGTTTTATAATTATCAAAATTTTCATTCTTTTAATCAATGATCATTGATCCTTAATTTCTACTTTCAGTTTTTTTTATTCAAATTTTGAAGTTTGTTAAGATTATTATTTACTTATGATAACGTTATTATTATTGAGTTGATATTAAAGAGTCTTCCTATGATTAATAAAACCGAGCGGGGAATATAACATAATACTTATATATACGTATGTGGGTTGCAAAAGAGGTAGGAGGAGGTAGAGCCTGCTCGCAAGGATCGACCGGTCAGAAAAGTGAACTCGATCTCAGTTCGAACGCATCGACTCTATAGGCGCCGGTATATACTTGTACTTGTAACCATTTTAATATTATTATTGTTGTTTTTTGTTAATTATTGTGTTTTTATTTCATTTCATCAACAAAAATTTCATAATTTTCTAGCAAAGTGATGTTTATTTGCTTTTGCTGGGCAGTGATTTGGTAGTTGGAATGATTGGAGTTTTTGAAAAGCGTACGTTTTTTTTTTAATTTTACTTTTGATTTTTTATTTAATTTTTAAGGCAGAATACGGAAAATATTCTGTTTTGATAATTAATAGTGATTAATTCGAAATATCTCAGGAAATATGGAAAAAAAGATATCAATAATTTTTTGTGCTCTACAAAAAAGTACTCTTATGTTTTCTTGATATTTTTGATATTTTAGAAAATAAATTGAAAAATATAAATTTCAAATTTGGGATTTTGCCATTTTAATTTTTTGTTGATGATTAATTCAAATTATCTTGTCAAATATTGAAGATATCAAAAAAATATCTCAGTACTTTTTTGTAGCAAATTTTGTGTTCTACAAAAAAGGACTCTTATGTTTATTTGATATTTTCGATATTTTATTAGATAAATTAAAAAATCTAAATTTTAAATTCCCAAATTTATTATTGCCACTTTTTAGTAAAAAATTACTGAGATATTTTTTTGATATTTTGTAAGATAAATTTAAATAATCTAAATTTTGAATTTCCAATATTACTATCTCCATTTTTTATTCAATGATTAATTACAATTAATGCTACCCAGAAAGAAAAATTTCTTGACTGGAGAACAAAATTCTTGGCTCAAGAAAATTTTTGGGTGTTTGAAGGAAGATCAAAGTTGAGTTGGCCGAAGTAAAAATTTTTTTTGAAATTCTATTCTTGGTGAAAGTAATTTTTTCTTCATTCAAATTATCATAAATACTTGATACAATAAATTTTTATATTTGATCAAGATTTTTAGATACTTCAGGGAAGCAGCGCTACCTACTTCAGCTGAGAAAAAAATTTTCTCACCTTGAGAAAATTTTTCTCGAGAATATTTGATACCCATTTTATATTATTTTAGCGTGCAATTATACATATTGAATGAAAAAAAATGGTGAAATATTATTTGATCTTCCCATTTGATATGTTAGTCAATAAAAATATTAATGAAAATTTACTTCTATCTTTATATTTAATTTTTTGGAGCAAGAGAGAAATTTTCTCAAGACAAGAAAATTTACTTCTATCAAGAACTAAATTTTTTGGAGCAAGAGAATAAGACTCAAATAAATTTTTTTGAATCAAAAAAATTTCTTGAAAAGAAATTTAAGTGAAATTTCTTGTCAAAAAAAAATTTATTTTTCGCTTAAGATAATAATTAGGAAGAAAAATATTTTCTTGGCTCAAGTGAACCTTTTTTTCTGTGTAATTATCTCTCAAAATATTGAAAATATCAAAAAAACATCTCAGTACTTTTTGTCAAAAAAATACTGGGATATTTTTCCAAAATTTTCAATATTTAACCCAAAAAAAATTAATTTTAACTTTCTCCAAAAATACAAACTTAAAAAAAATTCCAAATTTTTGAATTTTAGAACTGGGATGGTGGTTATTACTGCCAACATGCTTAGCTTTTTGGACAAAGTACACCGTAGAGTACGACGCAATGCGAGTAGGTCGTTGTTACTCAAAATGCGATCGATATCCTTCAATTAACCAGGTAAAAAAAAATAAAAACACTACTATGACTCTCAAATATTTATTTTAGCCTCAGGCCTTCTCCCTCTCTCCTAAAAAAAATAATGAACCCAACAATGCAAAAAAAAATAACAACCCCATTAGCGAATGTAAAGCAGGAAAAAAAGTACCCGATACAAAAAAAGTTTAGCAAAAACAAAAACACAAAGGACCGTGTATCGAAAAACAGGTTTTCACGCCTCTTGTGCACAAAAGAACAATCGCTAAAATGGGCCCTTGTATATTTATATATACATATATATGCTTTCGTATTCGAAGAAGCTCTATATAACATAAATATACGGACTATAAGATGTGTGTAATGTTAAAAGTAGGGCAATAAGTAAACAGACCTGTTTTTTTTTCTTTTTTTTATTGTACATGTATATATATATATAAATTTTTTGAGTAGTTGACTTGTAAGTGGTGTGAAAAGTTTTTTTAGAGTGATTTAAGAGTTAAAAAGCCAAAAAATTGGAGAAAAATTCGATTATAGGGACGCGCGATTTTTTTGAAGGGGAGGTGTTACGCAAGAACAAGATTGCGCACTAGTTTTATTGAGATATCTCTTCAAAAGTTAGGTTTAGAGAAAATAATTGTAGAGGTTTTTTGTAGAGAATTTGATGCTCTATAAAAAAGTATTGAGATGTTTTTTGGAAATTTTTGGTATTTTAGGAGATAAATTCGGAAATATTAATTTTGAATTGGTGATTTTTTTGTGGTTACTTTGTAGCAGTGATTAATGCTCATTACCTTGTAAAATATTGAAAATTTCGAAAAAGTATCTTAGTACTTTTTTTAGAAAATAAAATTTCCTACAGAAAAGTATTCGTGTATTTTTTCGAAATTAATCCTAAATCGCTTATGCTCCTATTCCAACTTTTCCTTGATGATTAATGCTAATTAACTTCTTAAATGCCAAAAATATAAAAAAAATATCTCGGTACTTTTTTGATAAGGGCAAAATTTTCTACAAAAAACGTATTCACAGATTTTTTCAAAATTTTGTTGGAGTCACTTTAATTACTTTAATTAAGAGTTGCTCAATTATAACACCTTAGCTACAGGAAATAGCAAATTGCTCAATTATAATACCTTAGCTACAGGAAATAGCGAACTCTCAATTATAACACCTTAACTTTACTTTACTTGACCTTTACTTTATACACTTTACCGTGCTTCACTTTACTTGACCTTTTTAAGTTAACTAGAACCCTTATGTTAACTTGACTTTACTGTAACTTTATGCACTTTACCGTGCTTCACTTTACTTTACTTTTTCAAGTTAACTAAAACCATTATGTTAACTTGAAACCTTACTTTTCTACCTCATTACCTAAACCAGGTTCCTGGGCCAATAACCTGTTGGAATCTCTAGTGGAATACTGGTTCAGGTGAATAAGTAGTTACAAGGAGCCGATAAATATGCATCTATACCTGATGGTTTATTATAACAGACTGATTAGTGATTATATAGTACAATTGTATTCTTATGCTATAGCGATGATGATAGGACAGTGGGGGTAGGTAAGATGACACGTTCGAGCCGATGACTCCAACAAATTTTTGATATTTCCGAACGTAAATTCAATAATGTTATTTCTAATTTGCTGATTTTCCTCTTTCAACTTTTCCTTGATGATTAATGCTTACTATCTCCTTAAATATCAAAAATTTCGAAAAACTATCTCAGTAATTTTTGGTAGAACATAAAATTTTCTTCAAAAAAGTACTTGTCAATTTTTAACTTCCCGCCAAGAAAATTGAAAATTTTCAAAAATCGGGAAGTAATTGGTTTTACTCCGTTTTTCGAAAATCGAGTTTTCATCAGATCTCGACGTTTTAAGGTCCTAGGAAGCTTCCGTGACTATTCCCGCGAGGGTGTCACTACACGGAAAAAAGTAAACAGTAATAAATAACAGTCGATTTATAATAAGTAATGATCAACTGCTAAAAATTACCATTTCAAACAGTAAAATCGTGATTTTACTATTCACTTTATAATATTTACCATTTAAACGTTATAATTTACTCTTTACATGAAAGAAAATACTATTTCAAACAGTAATATTCGCTATGTAAATGTCTAAAATGTTGAAGTATAATAATCAAGGATTCAGACTTTGATATTTATCATTTCGTACCTAAAAAATGATCTTATGATATGTAAAAAGTATAAAATAAACTAAGTAAATTTCTAATACAAACAACGTCAATATTTACAAAGTAAAATGGTAAATTTTAAACGCAACGCTAAAAATCAAACTGTAATTATTGACTTACTTGGACTGGTAAAATATATATTTTAAAAGTATAATTTTTACTGTTTCAAATGTTAAATTCTCCTAGAGTGAGACCCCCTTCTCTTTCATCTGAGTTCCCCTTCTTCTCATAATATAGACTATATATTGAAATGGCAATTTTTACTGATTGAAACTGTAATTTTTTAAGATGAAAGAGTCGTTATTTACTATAGTGACAGCTACTAATTACTTATTTTTCATATTAAATTATAAATTGTGATTTTTATACTTTCTACATTAAGTTCTGTAATATTTATATTTTTGCCACCCTGATGTCCGCTTTACTGTTTGAAACTATAAAAATTAACCGGAATCCGAGTGAATCTTATAGTTTACTTTTTTCCCTGTATGTATGTATGTAAACGATACTCAAAGAGCTCAAAAGCATAGAAAAGATGTCTTTTTGAGCTCGGAGAGCTCAAAATAACAAATAGATCGTATTTTTGAGCTCGAAGAGCTTAAAAACTTCGTAGGTGCAATTTTAAGCGCCCAGGTATTAACGGAATCAGCGGGAAGTTGCAGGGATGGCCTTCAGGGTCAACCGTTTTCCTGATTTTTTTGCTAATTTCAATAGTTTTCGAGCAATTTCAATTTTTCCAATCACATTTTCTTTCAGTGCATGGAAACCTGTCTATCGGAAAATTTCACCAAGCCGGGAAAATGTCCCGAGGAAAACTCAATGTCTCCTTTCGAAGCAGTTTGCCTAATTGCGTGTGCCAATGACTCTCAATGCACCGATTTAGGAAAATGTTGCCCGAATGACTGCGGGATAACTTGCATGGATCCCACCGGCCTTAGCGATGATCCTGGCAAGTTTTAAAAAAATAATTTCCACTCGCAAAATAATTTTTAAAAAAGTATTAACTAATTTAAAATTGTGATTGCAGATTTGCCTCCAATTCCAGAAAAAATCATCATCAGGAGGGAGAAGAGCAACATGGTGACTCTTAATTGGAAGCCCAAGGACCTGGTTCCAAGACACGATGAAGGGGTCTGTTACCTGGTGGAAGAACGACATGTCCTGGGTCCAAGATACTCGGAGTCCCGGTTGACTTCCTGGGGTGTTTTGCATATGGGGAGGAAACCCTTTCCTTCTATAAAGGCTGGACTGAAGACCGGACATTGGTACCAGTTCCGGGTCGCGGCTGTCAATGAAAAAGGATCCAGGGGGTACTCCGTTGCGTCGAAACCGTTTAAGACAGCTGGTAAGTCGAAATTATGGTGCATTGATTTTTAACGTCAATGCAGTTCAAATATGTGAAAAATTTTTGTAACATATAATACGCAAAATTTTATAGAAAACTTCGCAATATTAAGATTATTAATTTAGCGGAGAGAAAAATTGAATTGATTTTTAACGTCAATGCAGTTTAAATAGGTAAAAATTTTGAAAGATAGTAATGAGAAAAATTTTAATGGAAATTTTGAGTAATCTTATTGATTGAGACACGAAATAGAAATGCATTGATTTTTAGCGTCAATGCAGTAGAAAAGTTTAATTTTTTGCATAAAAAATTCTTAGTTCAAAATTTTATGCATCATTTCTTTCAAAACAATTCTTATTTGTTAACTGAACTATCTATTACATTGACTTTAAGTGTCAATGCAGCAAAAAAACATATCAAGAATAAAAAGAGAAAAAAATTTCTACCAACAATTTGCTGTAATTCCCAATTTTGTCACCAATTTTCGCTCCTTTCCAAAGCTAACAAAGTTATTCAAATTTTTTTTCTGTAAATACTTTTGCGTATTGTTGAGTTCCCGGCAGTACTGAGTGCAAGGACCCTTTCAGGTAGTAGATATAAGTAGCTATATGTGTTTAGTAATTCAGAATGCAATGTTTTTGTTGGGGCGGATGAAAGAACCTCGGAATCCGCGGGAGCCACGCAACCTATCTCTGAGCGGGGCCCGGGTCCAGCCGTTGGATGGCAAGCTGAGAATTCTTCTTCGTTGGAGGCAGCCACCCTCTGACGTTCCGATCATGTTTTACAAGTTGTTCTGGAGTCAACTGATAGTCGGACCTACCAATGAATCTGTTATCATTTCTCATCGCAGCATTTCGAAGGTTATCATTAATCATTAATCATAAAAATAATTTATTGGATTTTTGGTTCTTAAAAATTAAAGCTAAATTTTTGATCTTTTTATTATTTTTTAAGGACAAAAATTGCTTCGAAATTAAAAATTTGGAAATCGGGTGGCAGTATTTTCTACAAGTTCAAGCGGTTTCCGTCTATGGAGGCAGGAGGATCATGTCCAAAAAAGTTTCCCAGGTTTTTAATAGCACGGATTATCGAGATTATGGTAAATTTTTTTTTTTAAGTAAAATTTTGAAAAAAATCTGACTTTTTTTTTTTTATTGTGCATGTAAATATATAAATTTTTTGAGAGAAATTTCAACTTCTTTATTTCTTCTTTAAAAAAAACAAATCTTTTCTTAAAATCCAACCTTTCTACGCTTCAATTCCTTTTTACAATTTTTTTGAACTTCTCGCAATTTCAATCCTCTAACTTTCTAACGCCTTTCTATTAGTTTCATAACCGACCTCACAATATTTACAGCAGACACAGAGGGTCACTCTGGAAGATGTGAGCGGCACCACTTGGGATTACGCGTTCGCCGGCTAATTTGTCAATGCTCTGAAGAAATTGACGCGCGATTAGTTTGGCCAGTTGACGAGGAAGCTGCCAGTTACAACGTTTCCTGGCGCCTGGAGTCCTGCAGTGTCTTTAAGAACTCGCGGAATTCTAAGATCACTCCTAACCTAATTTCTCCGATTGCGCTGTCGGAAATTACACAAGTAAGTTTTAAAAATACAAAATTTCTTCTTTTTTATTAGATTTTATTTACAAAATTGAAATTTTTACAGAAAACGCGGTTTGATATCAAGAATTTGGAGAAAAACTGCACTTACACCGTCAATGTGCGCAGTATTTTAAATAATAATAATAATAATGGCAATGATAATAATAATAATAGTGAAGATAAGAAAGATAATAATGAGTTAGGAGGACCGGCTGATGATAATTGGCCGACTGAAGTTAATGAAGAGCGCAATTTATCGATCGAGCTGACGACAAATGTCAGCTGCAATAAAATTCGACAGAATCGTAACAATAATAATAATAATAATAATAATAGTAACGATAATAACAATGGTGATTTTAAATTAACAAAGTGTAAAAAAAGAAAAACTAGACTCAAAAAAATTTACAATAAATTTTTTTGATTATTACTAATTAAATTTATTATTATTATTATTATTAATATTATTGATATTATTATTATTACTATTATTGTATTTTGGATAAATAAACGTTTGACCTGAGAATGACATTCGTTGGAAGAAGACTAGAATTGCCGAGTTTTGAGCTCAAAATAAGCTCGACAAGATGGCGGCGATGAGGAACACGAAAGGAGTGGGGGTAGAAATAGGGGAGGAGGAGTAGCCGAGAAGGTGGTGGTACACTTTTCGGTCGCCGGCTTCTTGAGTCGGACGATAGTTTGATGCCAAGGTTCCGTTGTGGGTTTGGACGTTTTTAAGGATTTTCACCTGGAAGAAATGTACTTATTAGTATTAAAATCGACAAGTCACTAATACTCTTACTGATAATGACAACTGAATAGCATTGTCATAAGTGGCTCATTAGTACTTTTACTATAATAACTCCTTAGTAATTTAACTATTGACTCATTGGTAATTTCACTATTGACTCATTAGTCATTTTGATATTGACTCAATAGTACTCTTACCAATAACTCAATAGTATTTTTATTATAGTCTCATTAGTACTTCCATAAAAAACTTATAAAAATTTCAACTCCCAGTGAACTAGTATTTAATCAAAAACCTCAAACCTAATTCTAAGAACTCACTTGCGACTCAGAGATGGTCAACTTCTCAGTCATAACAAACCAGACGACGGACTCTTGGCACCCAGGAGTAGTCAATGAGCCTGAGTATCGATAAAACGTCGTCCTGTCGTTCGGCAACAAGTGAACGGGTATGACTTTCCTTTGAATTTCTATGCTGCTCTTACCAACCCATTGACTGACTGACTCAGCGGCTTTCAGTATCGCGTACAGATTGTCGTTGTCATCATCGCTCAACTGCAATTAACCAATAAAATTAACCTTAATTGTAATCATCATAACATTCTTCGTCATTATGACCATAATCATAATCATTTTCATGATCATCATGATAATAATCATGATCAACATCATAGTTATCATCATGATGATCGCCATGATAATTATCATCACTATGATCGTCATCATAATGATTATCGTGATAATCATCACCAATATCGTCATCATGATAATGATAATCGTCATCATCGTGCTAATCATGATCATCATCATGACAATCATCATTATCGATATCATAACCATCATCATGATGATCATAATTATCAATATCATAACCATCATCATGATGATCATCATGATAATTATCATCACTATGGTCGTCATCATCATAGTAATCATCACTAATATCGTCATCATGATAATCATTATAATCGTCATTATCATAATAATTATGACAATCATCATTATCAACATCATAACCATCATCATAATGATCATCATTATCAATATCATAACCATCATCATGATAATTATCATCATTATGATCGTCATCATAATGATCCTCATGATAATCATCACCAATATCATCATAATGATCATCACTAATATCGTCATCATGATGATCATGATAATCGTCATCGTCGTGATAATCATGATCATCATAATGATCATCATTATCAATATCATAACCATCATCATGATGATCATCATTATCAATATTGTAACCATCATCATGATGATCATCAAATCATCATAATGGTCATCACTAAAATCATCGTCATGATCATCATGATGATCATTATAATCGTCATTATCGTAATAATCATGATGATCATCATGATAATTATTATCCCTATGATCATCATGATAATTATTATCACTACGATCATCATCATAATCACCATCATAATAGCAATTAACTAATTACTGGCTCATCATTAAGTAATCACAGCTCAACCTTAAATTAATCAACTCATCGTAATTACCTTAAACAGAACAGCTACGACCGCAACGCCATCGTCATGCTGAGATGCAATTGACACATTTTCATACTTTTTATCATGATGTACCAAATGAAGCTCTAGTGCATCACGAGTGCCATCAATTGTGTGCTCAGCACCCCAATGAAAGTGCATTTGCTCGAGCACGTATTTCGACGTCAATCCACCACCACTTAAAAATATTGGTACACCAGACAATGTTATTTGCACTTGGCAAATTTTTGAAAAACAATAATAATAATAATAATTAACACAAAAATTTGGTAAAATAATTCACTCAAATATTGTAGTTACCATTGTGACCGGTATTGGTCAATATCCCGGTAAATGCATAGTCATAGTGCAGGAATTTCAATGACCCCAAATCATCCTTGAGGGTGTTGTCTGTCTCGATGTTTATCGGAGATTGTCTCTTGCCATTTTTGCACACTCCCGGCCAATTATTTGGACCTGAAACACAAAATTGAGAAAATTTTTGGACTGTTTGTTTTATCCCTCCATCTATAGATTTGAGCGACTTTTAGCGGTGATTAATTATAACTTTGGATCGGCAAAATCGGCTTATTAGTTTCTGAGTTAGAGCGATTTTTCTGTTATAGAAAATTATATGGCATGTTATAATTACGGAACTGAAGGACGCGGGTTCGAATCCTACCGAAATTTTTTTTTTTTTTTTTTAGGAGACATTGAAAAATATTAATGTGAAATTTTTTTCCATTTTTAGTTTTTCAGTGATTAATACTAATTATCTCGTGTAATATTAAAAATATAAAAAAAAAATAATACAGTACTTTTTATTGGAAATTTTATGATCTACAAAAAAGTATTGATGTTTTTTCAAAATTTTTGATATTTTAGAAAATAATTAAAAAAAGTTTGGAAAATCCAGAAGTGCACGCCTCATAACGCTCATTCATTTTTTAAGAAAATTTTATTTTGTTTTAAACATCGGTGCCCGTTTTTCTTGTCATATGCGCACGCAGTCTAAAAAAATCTAGCTTGATCAAGTGGCGCCATAGTTTTCATGTGACAAATAAGAAAAATTCGTTTGTTTTTGTAAGGTTGTATCGTAGTGAATTTTAATCAAAATTCAATTTAAAAAAAAATACGTAAACTAGGCTACTGATATGAAATACGGATCCAGTTTATTGCATTCTTAAACTAATAAAAAAGGCCTGGTCTTGAAATATCAATTTGTTTTGGAGTACATTCGTTGGTACATCCAAAATGGGGTGACATCAGGACATCCACGTAAAATTTTTTTCGAAACGTTTTTTTTCTCATATTAGCAACATGAAATGATTTTAAAAAGTAAATCATGGTTTAATTTAAGTATTTTCTCGGTGTACATCTACTTATATTATTGTATAAGTGCAATATGGTTGTGATAAAGATCACAAAATTGCTTGACCTAGACGAGTCGAGTATATATAAAGCACTACGCGTCATGAGGCGTGCAAAATATGGCTTTGAAATCCGCGATTTATTATCACTGTAATTTTTTGTAATTAATGCTCATTATCTTCTTAAATATCAAAAAAATATTTCAGTGCTTTTTTGTTGGAAACTTTATGATCTATAAAAAAATATTGATGTACTTTTTCAAAATTTTTGATATTTTAAAAAATAAATTAAAAAATATTATATTGAAATCCTGATTTATTATCACTGTAATTTTTTCATAATTAATGCTCATTATCTCCTTAAATATCAAAAATATAAAAGAAACATTTCAGTACTTTTAGATAGCGCACAAAATTTTTTACAAAAAGTCTATCATGAATTTTTCTGCCAGATCAATACGGCTGCCCAATTTTAAAACACCAGTAACTGCAAAATTTTTATACCTGATTTTTTTTTAGTATTGCTGCATTTTTTATAACTTTTAAACCTTAATTTCAAGTATTTTTTCTTAAAAATATTTATATTTGAGTATTTTCTATTCATAAATCAAATTTGTCATTAATTTGGCGGGCAAACTTTTTTTTAGCTTTTTATTAGCTTCACCTGTATGTTTGTATGTTTGTTTGTAACCTACTTCTTTAGGCGCGATTTTGACCCACTTTAAACGGCCAGATTTCGTTCAAACTTTGTAGATTTATCGAGGACCGATGACAATACATTAATTTGATAAAATTATTCCATTTTTCAATTTGCAAAATATGATTTTTGTTAATTTATATAATTTTGATCTATAGTCGATAAGGTAAGAAACTTAATTTTAATTTTTTATTATTTTTCTCTACAGTCGATAAGACAGGACTTGATGTTAATTTTAATTTCCAATAATTATATCTTTAGCCGATTTCTCTAATATTGAAAAATCTTCGAATACTAAGGAGAATTTTAATTCTACAAAACAAATAATAGTTTAAAAAAACTAAAAAATCACGCTTTTATAAATAAACCAAACTAAAAAGTAAAAAATAAATAATAGTTAAAAAAAAACTAAAAACACGCTTTTTATAGAAAAAAAGTATTATTTATTAATAAGAAAAATTGAAAAAAATTTTTAAATGTTAGTTACTGTGTTTTGATATTGGGCAGCCGAATAGTTTCCGAGTTCTCGCCATTTTTCAATCAAATAAAATTATCATCACCTTATTAGCGCACTTCAATACATAATCCGAAGGTCGCAGGTTCGAATCCCACCAAAACTTTTTTTTTTACAATATTTATCATTCAATCCAGAACAAATAACCCGATAACTTGTACTTGAAAGATTTATAATCTTATCTAATGACACAGATTGATAGAATCTTAAATTATATCAACCTAATCATCAATTATTGATTTTTAATTGATAATTAATATTGTTTGGTTAAAAAAAAATAAAAAACAGAGGAGGTTTAATGACAATAATAAAACGGCGTCAAACAAGTATAATAAGAGTAGTTGTCAAATTGGCAATTATCCAATCTGTGCTATGGTACATCATTTCCTCAATCAACCGGGGACCGTCGATGTAGGTGTAGTGTATAATAATGATAATGATAATGATAATGTTAATGTTAAGTAAAGGTAGATGTGGACGTGTGTTGGTAATCGTACCGATGTTTTTACACGGCGGTATCGTCTATGACTCAAAGGTCTCATCTGCTCTTATTAGATCTATACAGATGGGATCGTTTTATTATACGGTACTATTATAATTGCAATTTTATATGTGGATGTCGATCTCCCACCCACTTGATTTACATGTTTGCAAGTATGTGTGTGTGTAATGACGCAAAGAGTTTTTGTATGGTCGGTTTAGTTCTTTTATAATTTTGTGCATCATAAAGGTAGGGGTGTGCTTAGCCGTATTGTTAGCTTAAATACCCGGTTAATGTCACTTAAATAATTTATAGACGCCAGGCATTGATACATGAACTTTATATTTCAAGGATCATTTTTTTCTCTAAATAATACACTGTAAAAATTTTATATAAATTTTTTATTTTGCATAAGAATATTTTTTTGTACACGGAAAAAAAATTCTGGGAAAATTTACGGTACAACTATTGTAAAGCTGGACTATATTTTTATTACTAATAATTGTCAAATATTTTACAACAAAATTTACTATTTATTTACGAAATTTTAAAACTTACTATCGTAATTTAACCAAATAATTATTGTCTTAAATTCGATTAGAAAAAATACGATATTACTATTGTAAAAAGTAAGAGAATAAAAATTTCCAGTGCTGCCTCTGTATTTTTCCAATAATAGTAACAAATTTTACAATAGCTGAATTGGAATGTTTTTCAATAAGTGTGAGTGTTGGCCGTGCACAGCGCTAGACTCCGAGTTTATGTAAATACTGTAGGACATCGATAGTAGTTTATCTCGGATAGCGTCGAGGGAGAGTCTCTGGCTACCAAACTAAGAGTTCTGGGTTCGATTCCCGGACGAGAATTCCGATTTTTATTTTCAGTTACTGCATAATTACCAATCAGTCCAACCTCCTACCTTTGCCCTCCCTAAAATTTCTTTTAAAAAAACCGACTGTCAATTTTTACAATAGTTGAGTTTTAAAGTTCACTAACACATCTTGTCTAACTTAAAAATTTACAATAGTAGATAGTAAAAATTATTAAATGATAGTATAGTCTACCGTTACTATTTTATTTAATAAAAATTACGATAGTAAGATAGTAAAAATTCCTTCAAATTTCTTTATGTGTAGGGTACATATTACCGGTGGGGTTTATTTCCCAGATGGATTTGCAATTCCCCATTGTAATTTCAGTTCCGAGTTAAGTATGCTATAGTGTATCACGAATAATAAAATATAACATAGAGAAATTAACTAGTGCCCAAACTAAAAATTAACACGTGTTCTACGAAAATTTTGCAATAGATACACTGAAAAAAAAATTCTTGACTGGAGTGTAAATTTTCTTGGCTCAAGAAAATCTTAAGGAAGATTGAAAATTTCTTGAATAAAGTCAAAATTTCTTTAGCCAAGGAAATTTTTTTTTTGCTCCAGAATAACTTTCATTTTCCTTCAAATTTTCTTGGCGCAAAAATAAAAATTTGTTTTTTGTGTATAGCATTGATTTTGAGCGTCAATGCAGTCTAAAAACTCCATTAATTATGTAAAGGTAATTTAAAATTAAATTATCCAAATGATGTGAGTAACAAATTTGAAAATTATTTAATTAAAAGTTAACAAAAAGAATATTTTTAGTGTCCATTAATTACAAAAATAATTTTTAGTTGAATTTCGAGGGCGATATGATAAATTTAACCCTCGAAGTACACACCTCCGAACAGAACTTTAGAGTACACACAGGGTCAAATTAACCCCACTTGACTTTCGAACAATTATATCTCAGAAACTATGCATGTTATCGGAATTCAGGTTATTACATTTTAACTAGGTGAAACAATGCTCTTTTAAATACAATCATTATTATTCTGAATTAGTTTTTAATGTTGAAAAAATTAATTAAAAATGAACCTATTTTCAAGAAATATTTTAGGATAAAAAAAAAAAATTCTGGGATCAAAGCAACCCCCAGTGTACTCTGAGGATTAAATATTATTTAATCAAAATTTAGTAAAATTGTGTTTTAAATTGATTTTGAATGTCAATGTAGTTAAAAAAACGTAATTTGCTGTACAAAAATCCTTTAAAAAAAATTTTCTTTTAAATTTCTTGATGACTGTTCATATATGAAATAATTTTAATAAAATTTTTACCATTTTCGTCGGTGTAACCCCAGTCGTGGCTTTTGATTGAACATATATCTGAAAAAAGTCAAATTTGAAAATTAAATATTACTACTATTATTAATTTATTATTTGCGATTCGTTTTTCCCAGGCTTTGTTAAGAGATTTTATTGAATGAAGTAATTAGGTAATTATAGAATTGAATTGATCAAAGGGATTTGCTTGAGGGTACTTTGATATAATTATTTTATTTTTGTCCTCTGATTATATTAATAATGATAATATAATAAAAATGAAATTATTGATATAATTGTTATTATTTATTTTATGGTTGAATTTTGAGAATAATGTATCAAATTTTCAGAAAAATTGAATAAATAGATCCTGAAATATAGAAAAAAAATGAAATGCATTGATTTTGAGCGAAAAAATTATTTATCGTATAAAAGGTCAATTGAAATTAAAAACTTTGGGCAAAACCTGGAAAAGTATTTATTTGCCGTAATTTTTAAGAATACATTGATTTTAAGCGGCAATGCAGTAAGAATCGATAGGCAATTAATGAATCGTCTATTGACACTATTAATTCAAATTTGATCGCGTTTTTAATAACGAATTTTACCACTACTTCTCCTAAACTTGCCTGCATAATAGTTTGGGTTGATTTTAAGCGTCAATGCAGTAGAAAAATGTCATTAATCATCTGCGTACATCATCTGTAATTCAAACTCTAACACGATATTAGTAACTAGTTTAACTACTATACTATACAGAAGCTTGTCTCAATAAAAGTTTGCATTGATTTAGGGCGTCAATGCAGTATAGAATTGTCATTGATCTCTAAATACACTTTTGATTTATATTCTAATGTAATATTAGTCACAAATTTTACTAGTACTATTTCAAAAACTGCCTAAAATATTAACATTGATTTTGAACGTCAATGCAGTAAAAACCTCATTTTTTACCTAGACACTTTTAAATCCAATTTCAACGCCATTCTACACGGAAAAAAACAAGATGACACTGGATATCATCCCAGATTATACTGAGTGAAAAAAATTTCAGATAGTAGCTAGTATAATCCAGATTACAATGAGTATAATTCAGATTATAATGAGTATAATCCAGATATCACGCATTATAATCTGGATTTTTTTAGCTACTATCTGGAATTTTTTTTCACCACAGATATCACTGAGTATAATCTGGGATGATATCCAGTGTCATCTTGTTCTTTCCGTGTAGTGACTAACTTTTCTATTTCCATTCTAAAAATTGCCTTAATAATTTTTTGCATTGATTTTTAGGTCAATGCAGTAGGAAAAACTACTTTTTTATAACATAGACACTTCTAAATCAAATTCCAATGCGAAATCAGGGACTAGCTATACCATTATAATCCCAAAAACAGCTTAAATAAAATTTTACATTGATTTCGAGCGTCAATGTAGTAGAAAAAATCTTATTTTCTTACAAAGACACTTTTAAATCCAATTCTGAAGCCATATATGTGACTTACATTTCTATTACTATTAAAAAAATTGCCAAAATAAAATTTTGCATTGATTTCGAGAGTCAATGTAGTAGAAAAAACCTCATTTATCATACAAAGACACTTTTAATTTTAATTCTAACGCGATAACAACGATTTCTAACTCATATATATTTTAATAAATTCATCTCTAACTCATATATATTTCGATAAATTCATTTTCATTCACAAAAGTCAGTGCCAAATTTTAATAAAAAAAAAAAAAATAAATAAATAATAATAATTACCACCTACTATCAAAAAATAACCCGAGGTGAATATCTCAATATCTAAAACTGCAACGTCTAAAATTTAAAGCACCTTGTGCCAAATTTAAATTTAATTCAATGCTACAATAATTTATCAATTACTCTCAATTTATTATTACAATCATTATCATTATTATAATCATTTTAATTCATCTCACCACCTACGTGATTAGCTCTAAGACAACAAATATCCAGATCGATAAATTATAATAGTGCGAAAACATTTACTCACTTGCAATAATAAATACCAAGTAAATTAATAACATCGTTAACTTCAAATCTAATTTTTTTATTTAATAAATTATTGCCTTTAATTTTCGCCGTAATTAATTACACTTTTATTTATTATTTTTTTTTTCTTTTGAGTGAATTGATTAACAACAAAAATTTTTTTTTAATTAATATCGATGGAAAAAATAAAAAAGTTATTCCTCGATCTGCGCCGCTCGACGACAGAGTTACGACTGAAGATGACATGTTACGCGGTCAACCCTTGCGATATATATTCTATTCTACCTAGATCATTATTAGTATCACATGCAATGAGACAATTTTTAAATCACCGTTCATTATCTTATTAGACAAGAAAAATGTTTTTTTTTTTTGCTCGAAAGTTAAACTTATAATTTTCTTATTAAAAGTTGACAATTTTTTGTAATTGTTGGTAATTATTGGAGAATCTTAATTTAATTAATTGGGGAAAAAAAAAATTTTTTTTTTTTTTAAATGAAATTTGTAATTTTTTTTTTTTATTAAAAATTAGCCATTTTCGATAATTATTGACGACTTTTATTTTAATTAATAAAACAAAAAAATTTTTTTCATGCTCAAAGATTTTTGATTTTTAATTTTATTAAAAAAAAATTTTTTTTTAATTTTTTATTTTTGCTCGAAAGTCAAAATTTGTAATTTTCTTATTGAAAGTTGACAATTTTTTGTAAATGTTGGTAATTATTAAAGAATTTTAATTTAATTAATTAGGAAAAAAAAATATTTTTTTATTAAAAATTAGCAATTTTCGAGAATTATTGACGATTTTTATTTTAATTAATAAAAAACAAAAATTTTTTTATTGCTCAATAATTAAATTTGTAATTTTTTTGCAACTGATAATTATTTTTGATTTTTAATTTTATTAATTGAATAAAAAAAATTTTTTTTTATTAATTTCTTCATTGTTTGAAAATTAAACTTGTAATTTATTTCCATACAAAGTTGGCAATTTTTTATAATTGTTGGTAATTATTATCGAATTTTAAATTAGTTAATTAGTAAAAAAAAAAAAAAATAAATTTTCTTATACATAATTTGAAATGTACTAATACATTGTCACATACAATGAAGATAAAACGGATGAATACGAAGTTCATACCGTGATATTGACATTCGCAAAGAGATTAACTGTCAAGTCATCTGGATACAATTGTTTTATGTCCTAGTTTGTAATTAAAGAAAATTGTTTTGTTACGAAGACAAAAATAATATTTTACTTTTTTTTTTTTTGTGAAATAAAAATGAAAATTTATTTTTAGAGGTCTTTGTTAATATTTCGGCCTTAAATAATGAAATTTAAAGAGAGCTAGCCGATAATTTTTATCTTTTAATTTAGAACATAAAAAAAAATTCTTTAAAAGTTGACAATTTGTCCTACATGCAGCGTATTAAAAAATATGATGATTTTTTGTAGAAAGTTAAATTTTCTATTAAAAAGGTTTTTTATCATTTTTTTGATAAATTAAATATTTTTAAAGTTATTAAGGGTTAAAGTTTGACGAAGCCGATATTCGATTTTTTCTCGGGTTCGGAGAAATTGAATGCATTGATTTTGAACGGCAATGCAGTTAAAAAAGTTATTTAGCCTGCAAATATAATTTTTAAATAAAATTCTAAGGTAATATTAGTGACTGTTCTTAATATTAATGATTAAGAAAGCAACAAAATAAAATTTAGCATCGATTTTAAGCGTCAATGTAGTAAAAAACTTCAATTTTTGGTTACAAGCTATGTCAATTTTGACGCGATATTGACATTAAAAAATATTAAATATCTTAGAAAGTTAACTGAATAAAATTGTGCATTGATTGTGAACGTCAACGCAGTCAAAAAACGTTTTACAAAGAATTGGGACACATTTGAATGAAATTATTACTTAAAGTAAAGGATTAATATGACGGAAAGGAGTAAAAAAGGACTAAATAAGATGTTGCATTGATTTTGAGCGTCAACGCAGTTCAAAATGTTATTTAGCCTGCAATTATAATGTTAAGGTAATATTAGTGACTCTTTTTAATATTAGTGATTAAGAAAGCAACGAAATAAAATTTTACATCGATTTTAAGTGTCAATCCAGTAAAAAACTTCAATTTTTGTTTACAAACTATTTTAATGTATATTTTGACGCGATATTGACATCAGAAATTACCAAATATCCTTAAAAGTTATCTCAATTAAATTTTGCATTGATTTTGTAAGTCAATGCAATAAAAAACATATCATTTATCGTACAAAAATACTTTTAGTAGAAATTCTAACGAGATATTAGTAACGAATGTAAATATTCGTCATTTAGAAGGCAACCAAATATAATTTTGCATTGATTTTGTACGTCAATAAAGTCAAAAACTTCAATTATTGCTTACAAACTATTTTAATGTTAATTTTGGCGCCAGAAATTACTGTTTGACCTCAAAATTTGACTAAATGAAATTTTGCACTAATTTTGAGCGTCAATGCAGTTAAAACGTCATTTTGCTTACAGAGATAATTTTTAAATAAAATTCTAAGACAATGTTAGTAACTATTGTTAATATTAGTCATTTAGAAGGCAACTAAATAAAATCTTGCATTGATTTTGAGCGTCAATACAGTAAAAGATCTTCATTTAATTAAAAAAATTATTAACTCGAATTTTAAAGCAATATTTGTAACCAATTTTTAGTATTATCCATTAAAATGACCACTAAAAATATTTACATTGATCTTGGGAGTCAATGTAGTCAAAATACATCATTTAGCGTAACAAAAAAATTATTAAGTCAAATTTTAAGGTGATCTTTGTAACTAATTTTTAATATTACTCATCAAAAAATTAACTAAATAATATTTTGCATTGATTTTTAGAGTCAATGCAGTAAAACCCGTCATTTAACGTACAAAGATACTGCTTTTAATTAAAATTCTAACGCGATATTAGTGATTTGCAACTTTTCAACGAATAATTTATCATTTTAACTTTAAAAAAAATCCTGACTGAACTAAAAAAACAATTCTTTTCGGTTTTATGACCAACTTTCGGTCAACATGAAAAGGAGCTATAAAAAATATATTTAACACCCCAAGTGTTGCAATGGTGAAACTAAAAGGAAGGTTTTAATTTAAATATTTAAAAAAATAAGGAAGTACTTAAATAAAAGCCCAATAAATGTGTGTAAATGTTTAAAATGTGTGTATATACGATCGGTCATAAAACGTTTGAAATTGCAGCTTCGGTCCTCATCATAGTCGAATAAACACACCGGATTGAACGCTAAAGTGTTCAATGTAACATCTGATACTGTGGGTGTTAACGTTTCAGTGTATGTGTGTGTGTTGAAGGCACACGTGCATGGAGTACGCATAATAGCGCTGAAAAGAGTTCAAAAATAGACGCATAGGCCAGAAAAGCTTTTGCTTATTTCTTGTGTTGTATTTAATTATATTGAAGATTGCCCGCTAAGTCAGTTCGGTGAGTAACCTCTGGCATTTAACATCCAAATTAATGTGCTTTTTATTATCAAAAAAGTTTCGTTATCCACCTGGTGGCTGTCGGCTAAAAAATATAAAAAATTTTTGTAGTTAACCTGGGATACATTCTTTTAAAAGATTGTAGAAAAAATATTTAGGTCTTTATACTTACAACAAATTAGTTTTTATTAGCTTGGAGAATTTTCAATTTAAAATTAGTTTTGGACATCAATTTCATCAATTTTGACATCATAAAATTGTAAGTCAAATTTACATCAAATTCTGAGTTTATAACAATATTATTTTATTAACATCATAAAAATTTTCGCTGACATTGACATCACAAGTCAATTTTAACATACATTTTTTAGACATCATTTCCATCAATTTTGACATCACTAGTCAATATTGACATCAATACAATCTATTCATACATCGTAGAGTTTTAAGTAAAAAGTACATCAAATTGAAAGTTAATATCAACATTTTTTTCATTTACATCAATTCCATCAATTTCGACATCACAAAATTGTAAGTAAAATTTACATCAAATTTTGAGTTAATATTAACCTTATTTCATTGACATCAATTCCATCAATTTTGACATCACTAGTCAATTTTGACATCAATACAATCTATTTATACATCGTAGAGTTGTAATTAAAAATTACATCAAAGTTAGAGTTAATATCATCATTTTTTAGACATATTTTCCATCAATTTTGACATCACAAAATTTGTACCATTATTACCATCACAAGTCAACTTTAACATGAATTTCTTAATTTTTAAAGAAATTTTTCCATCAATTGACATTATAAATTTTATACCAAAATTTACATCACCTCAGTCAACATCAACCTTCAAATCAACTCTCAATAAAAATTAATTTTGACTCTGCAAATCAACTTCGACATCAATTTATAAATTTGTATTGGACATCAATTTCATCATTTCGACATCACAAAAATTTTTGATAACATCGACATCATGAGTCAACTTTGTCATAAATTTCTAAATCTTTAATGGACATCAATTCCATCATATTTGACATCACAACAATTTTTGCTAACATTGACATCACAAATCAATTTTAACATAAATTTCATAACTTTTTAGACATAATTTCCATCAACTTTGACATCACAAAAATTTTTGCTAACATTGACATCACAAGTCAACTTTAACATAAATTTTTTAATTTTTTATAGAAATCTTTTCCATCAACTTTGACATCACAAATTGTGTGTTGAAATTTCCACTCGCAGTTAACATACCCTTCAATTTTCGAAAGACATCAAAAGGTTCGTATCAACATTTCCATCACTCCTCTTAAACCTCCCTCCTCTCCTAAAAAAAAGTAACTAAACACTATAAAAAACTTAATTTTCCAGTTAACCATGACAAAAATGCGATCATCATCCCGGTCCTGCAACTCGTCGGCAACTTCCATCAACAGAGACCCACGAGAAAAAATAAAGGACTGTTGCCGAAAGCTAGTGGCCTTCATGTGCACCCAGGTGGGGGTAGGAGGACTGGTAGTCGGGTACGCGATAGTTGGCGCCCTAGGATTCATCACCCTCGAAACGCAGTCTGAGTATCCCCACGTCGAGGAGATGCAGCACCTGCGAAAGAACTTCAGCGAGAAACTTTGGACTGCGACAGCAGCTGATAGGAACGTCAACGTCCTCAACAAAACGGCCTTTAATCGTCAAACCGACGGGTTACTCAGCCAATTCCAGGTCGAGGTCGTCAAAGCTGTCAAAAAGGGCTACAATGGAAAGACCGTCAAGGACGTTTGGTCGCTTCCTGCCGCTCTGATGTTCTGCTTGTCTGTCTTCACCATGATTGGCTATGGGAACATTGTTCCTAGAACCATGTGGGGGAAAGTTGCTACTGTTGTCTACGCCATCTTTGGGATTCCGCTGTATGTTCTGTATTTTTTGAATATGGGAAAAGTTCTTGCCCAGACGTTCAGGTAGGAGATTTTTTTTATTTTTAAGATAATTATTTAAGATACGACGTAATTTTTTATGGTTAATATTAATGTTTAAAATTAAGAAATTTTTTTAAAATATCACGTGACAAATGCCAAAAGCCATATTTTATAGCTAGATTTATCGATTATCGACAAGTTTGAAGGGGAGAAAGAAGGAATTTCAAAGTAAAACGTATTTGATCCTACTTTTAATATATAAAGATGTAATTGTTAGTTTAAATTAGTGATTTTCATGAAAATATAAACAATTTTGAATTGATTGAAGTGCAAAATAACGCAAATAATTGAATATTTATAATCTGACAACGTTTTTAAGATAGACTATGAAAGGAGTAGTAGTTGCACAATCAATTCTGACAAGCCGCAGTAGTTGAACACTCCGGGAGCAGTAATTGAACTAATAAAATATATGGCAATAGGCACACCAAAAATTTTTAACGTTTTATTGAAATATTCAAAGATTTATAACATATTATTGAATAATATTAAAAATAATACTGTGGATATTTAATATGTTCATTTAAAAGTGAGAAACATTTGTATTTGATTTTTTAATTACATTTTTTATGAATGACAAAGTAAATTTTCAATTATAATCCAAAAAAACTCAATTCAAAACGTTCAATAGTTTTTAACTATACTAATTTTTAGTTATAAAACTTATTTAATTTGCAGTAATTAATACAGATCACAATACTGATCATTAGTCTATAAACCTATTAAAGGTTAGAGTGCTGTTAAAATTATACGGTCCCAGTTTGTTCAAGTTCTGGGTACCGCTTTGAAAATTGGGAGGTATAGTTGCGAACGCTAAAATTTAATATAAAAATTATAGTTTATGTCTTTGCAAAAAATATGTATTATTTAGAAAAGACTATTTCATTGGATGGTACAATTTTTTTTCACTTAAAATGATGATATACCGGTTTTTTTACTGATTGTTCGGTTTACGGTTTAGTACCTTTTTCATGAAAAAAATAGCATCTATCGGTTATTCTCGACATGTCAACTTTAAAGTTAACAAAAATGTAATTGTTTTGATTTATAATTGAAAAAACTTACCAAAATCAATTACTGTATCATTGAATAATTATAACATGCGCATATTACTCATAATATATATACAGATTTTGTATTACAACAATTCTAAAAGTCTGTTCAACTACTGATGGTCCCATTTTTTGAAGTGTTCAAGTACTGGGTACTTTACCTTATCAGTGTTGTTATTTTGTTTTAATAGGAAATCTACTTCCATTTCAACAGCCAAATGGCACTTTTTATTTTCCTGTATAATTCCAGGTGGCTCTACAGGTGGTTCCACGTCTGCACAGGTCGGAAGAAACCCGGACAAAGGATCATAGTGCCCTCTACCGCCTGTCTCTGGGTTATATTCGGCTACATCCTGGTCGGCACCATTATGTTCGCTCAATGGGAGGAGTGGGACTACTTAGACAGCGCTTATTTCTGCGTAACGTCGCTCTGCAAAATAGGAATGGGTGATTTTGTTCCAGGCGCGAACATTGTTGAGGCTAAAAGCGGCAGCCATCTTAAGTTGGTCATTAACTTCGTGTACCTGCTTCTGGGCCTGGGATTGGTCGCCATGTGCTACAATCTTATGCGCGAGGATGTTCGGGTCAAAGCGAGGGAACTGAGGGAAGAAATCATCGAAGCTTTTGAAGACTTCAAGTACCGGATGGTTCATTGCTGTGGTGTAAATTCCACGTAATTTTAGAAAATGATACCGTTTATTTTTGTTTTTTATGTTTTGTAATTTTGGGGAATAAAAGTTATTTTAAAAAAGTTTGGAAAATCCAAAAAAGTGCTCGCAACTTCCCGTTAATTCCATACCTATGCGCTTAAAATTGAACTTATGACGTTTTTGAGCTCTTCGACTTCAAAAATATAATTTATATGTTATTTCGAGCTCTCCGAGCTCAAAGAGTTAGCTGTTCTGAGCTTTTGAGCTCTTCGAGCTCAAAAGTCTGATAGGAGTTTAATAAAATACTATTCTTCAAATTTTCAAACTGCAAAAAAATCTACTAGTCCTTGACCTAATATGACGTATAAAAAACTTTAACTAAATTTTTTATTATGTTTATGTTTTTTGATGATAAAAAATCGCTCCGTATTATGAGTCGTGTGATTGTGTTTGGTGTTGAATTTTATTGAAATAATTTGATATAATATATAATTATCTCACATTTATTTTTCATCTTTTATATTTTCATGTAATTATACAACGTGTAGTTATTAGTAGATTTCATAGAAACTACTTAGTCTTTTTAGTTTTCCGCGCAAGTCTAGGTCAAACTTTTTTATCAACAAACTGGACAAATTTCGGATAGACTTGACCAAATATATGGACGTTATTACTTCAACGTTTTTGGAATTTTCTATTACTTACACATCTGTAATAATTTTCTAATTCATAGATCCCTTGCAGATTGTGAATTATTGGAACCCCTTTGATGAAGAAGATTGTATACTGAATACGAGAATTTAACAAGCTGAAAAATTTAACAAGCTATAACTTATGAATAAAGGCCCGAGTAAAAACAGAATTCCGCCGCACCATAGCCGCAACACCGCTGCACGGCTTTTTAAGCGCCGCACCACCGCTGCACTACAGCCGTGACAATTTTGATTATTTTACAAGTGCCGCACCACCGCCGCACCACCGCCGTGACAAGTAAAGAATTTATCTATTCGCCGAACGACCGCCGCACCAGCGCCGTGACAAGTAAATAAATTTCTATTCGCCGCACCACAGCTGTAACGCGTCCGAGTAAAAATAAAATTATTAATTTTTATGAAAAAATAATAAATTTCGTTCGACCGCCGCACCACCGCTGCACCACCGCCGCATCATACTGCTGTTTGATGGTATATAATAAAATATTTGTTGATCATTCAAATAGCTTAAATAAATATTCAAGTTAACTATGGCTTCCAGCGCAGTTGGCAATGTTCGAGACTTCCATGCAGACGATCTAGGTTCGAATCCCATCCCAGTTCAATTTTTAAAATTCTTTCAGAGTATTTCGATAGGCGTACCGCTTCTGTGCAACCCGAAGACAAAATTAAAAATCTACATTAACAATACGACTAAAAAAATCAATAATTTCGCGGTACTTTGGCCTGATTAAAAAAAATTTTTTTTTTTTAAATTAGATATTTGATTAAAAGGAGGTTGATCAATAGGTCTTACATTAAGATTTCCAGTCGCATTATTTATTAATTAATTAATTAATTATTGTGTGATAAATTTATTATGAAACCATTTTTTGTGAAATTGTAGGTATGATTTAGCATTGGTGCGGCGGTAGTGCAGCGGTGGTACGGCGATGCTAGGGGGAGTAAATTTTTAGCGTGCAGCGTAATAGTCCGCCAAACGGCGGTCGTGCAGCAGCGGTGCGGCGGTATGGTGCGGCGGTGGTGCAGCGGTGGTGCGGCAGTTGAACGAAATTTATTATTTTTCCGTAAAAAATAATAATTTCATTTTTACTCGGGGGGATCGATTATATTTAAACTTAAGGTAGTTTTATAGCTAAATCGCATGAACTTGACTGAAATTTTTGTTATGTATCCGAAAGATTGTACAGATATGAATTTTTAGAAAAAAAATCTGGATAGAGCGGTTGACCCTAAAGGCTATCCGTGGAACTTTTCGCTATGTACGAGTTCAAAATGCTCGAGAAAATATATATTACGTATTTTTGAGCCCTTCGAGCTCAAAAAGACAACTTTTACACTTTTTCAAGCTCTTCGAGGTCGAAAATCTATTGGTTATTGAAAACATACTTTTTGAAAATTTTTAACTGCGATATCTTCCAATCGAATCCATCGTTTTTGAGAGAACTTGGGGAATCTATAGATCTCGTTATAACGATTCAACGTAAAATTTTAAAGCTCTAGTAAAAAAAAATAATTTTTTGAAATTAAAAGTCAAGCTGTTTGAAATTTATGAGAGGTGTAGAGCCATTCTCGTAGGAATAGTCAGAGTATAGCTCTCTAGGACCTCAAAACGTTAAAACCTGATGAAAACTCGATTTTAAAAAATTAAGTAAAATCCAATAACTTTCCAATTTTTTGAAAATTATTGATTTTTATAGCAGGAAGTTAAAAAACAAAAAGAAATTTCAATTTAACCACGGATTGCGACTACTAAACCACCTTAATAAGTGCTTCGAGTAAAACAATAAAATACTAACATTAGTAAAAGAATCCAACGAAAGTTCAATTAACGTACCGCTGGTGTACTTGATTGGCTCAAGGGTCCTCGTTTTCATGATAAGGAGATCTTTTTTGCATTCATTCGTCAAAAAGTACCAGTTCATTTTATAAATCGAAACACTTAAATCCATGCTCTAAACCAATGGTAAGTATTAAGTAATTCTTAATAGGAGCATACTCAAATAAATGTACAATTGAAAATACTTAACCTCCAACATAACTTCGTTTCCGTACCAACAGTACAAATAAATTTGCAACAGCATACACCCAAGAAAAACTAATAAAAACACAAACTCGGGACCCATGAAAGCCAATTTGGTCAATGATTGAACGCACATACAGAGTATCAGCGAGCTCAAGGTATATTGAAGAAAAATAACTGGTGAGAAGACATCATTGGATAGGCGTGAGTACCTGTTGAACAAAATTATGATAAAATCTTAAACTTGATGCACATAGTTATAAAAATTAAGCAATTATACTCTAGAGTATAACTGTTAAATATCAATATTAATTCATAAACTCACTGAATGATAACTTGATGATGATTGATAAGCTTTTGCAATACTTTGCGCTCCAATGATCTGACAGAAAAATGTAATATTTTTATATTCTGGTGTTGCCGATGCTTGGTTATTATTTCGGTAAAATTTTCAAGACGGTGCTTCAAAATTCTCAACTGGCTGGAATTTTGTATCATTACACCAAAGGCGATAGTGTCAAACGATAATCCAATCATACCACCATAAGAAAGAGCGATAATTTGGTGAAAATATGCAAACCAATATCCGGTGCTGTTTGAATGTTGATAAGGGAACCATCCGCTTATAGGAAGAGTTCTTGTCGGAACGTTTTCTATCATTGAAGCTCCTGATATAGCTATAACAGCGACACATGCCAATCCTCCGTATTGCATCGTTACATTCCTGTGCTCAAATAATAAAAAATTTTATAGATTATGAAATATCGTATAATAAATGCCAAAAAGTCATACTCTTATAGAAAGATAGGGCCTTTTGCTAATAGGGCGTACAAAATTTTTTTTTTCCAATCAACTCAAAACCGTCGAAAACGTCATTAGTTGAAAAAAATTTTAGAGCTACTAACGCCGAAAAGGCGTATCTCGAAGGTATACGCCCTTTTGGCTCTAGGAAAATTTTTTTTTAAGCTAAAAAGGTGTATAAAGAAAATTATTTTTTTATGATAAAACAAAAATAATACTGCATCGATGAAGCAATATCATAATAAAGGTGAATAGTTTAAGTTAAGTATAAAAAGGGGCAAAATGAACAACGGAAAAAAAATTTTTTTTAGTCTTATTTTTCTCTAAATTACCCAATTTTTTTCTTTTTACTGTTTTTGAAACTATTCTGTGTGATTCAGATTAATTAAAAAAAAATTCACTCTAAAAAAATGATTATAATGATTAAAAATATTTAAAACCTTTTTCGAAATTTCAAGCTTTATAGTAATAGCCTGATAATAGCCATATTGAATGTTTAATATTGATTTTTATAGTTTAATAATGAAAATATCTTGAATATTTTCAGAATTTTTTATCAAATATATAATTTGAAACATAAATTTGTGAGACTTGAATTTTTTTTATTTTTAATATCCGAAATATGTTTGCAAAGTGATTTTTTTTTCTACGCCTTTTTAGCTTTGCATAGCTAAAATAGCGTACTATTTGAATCAAGGAAATAATATATACAAACTTGATCCTCTTGTCATGTCCCAATTGTATGTGAGCTTCTTCATCGGATTTTATAATGCAAGTATCACTTTGTAATAACTGAAAAATATGTAAAATGGCATTGCGTTTAACAGTCATAAGAGTCAACTTGGCAAAGACAGTCATTATTGTGAATGCCATGGACATAGTGTGAACAATATCATCAATATTCTCCGTTAAGAACAAATCAACGATGCATGAAATGCAAAAAGTAACCAATATCATTTCAATTATTAGTGTGTATAAATTGTAAATTTTTTCTTTTAAAGATAAGCTCCATCGAAGCGGCACCCAACCAGCAAAGAGCTTGAGTACTAAAAAACTGTCTGTAAGAACCTCCATGTAGACTTGATGAAGTTTCTTTTGAGACTAAGCAAAATACTTGCGAGGACAACGTCAGATCGAAGAAATATATTGATAGAAATAGAAACATATAATAAAATATTGAGACACGCAAGGTTAAATAATACCAGCTTAGTCATTTTACGAAATTCACTGTCAGAAAAGTGTCATTTAATATTGAATAAATAATAAAGTCTTCGAACCCTTTCTTCTGTTGTAGCTTTTGCTTGCGAAAGGAAAATCGAATATCGCTAACCTGTAATTACTACGAAATGTCCGGTAGAGATGGTCTATAGGAAATAATAGCGACAGACTTTCTGTAAGTCTGTTTTCGACAAACGACAATATTAACTCTATTATTTTATTGACTTTTATTTATAATACGTCGAAAGGTTTAACTTATTGAACCTTGGAGATGAAGACAAATGTGCACTTACATTATTTCGTAAACGCTTGTATATACTCCGGGAAAGTGATTTTTTATACGGAGAGAAAAAAATAGATCTTATTCCTATGCTAGAATGGTAACCATTACTATGTGACATAGTAATGGAAATTTTGGTGTGAATTCTGTAAGAATTTACTGAGAAAAATCTTAGAAATTATAATATAAGTATTATGAACAATCACTTATACGATGCGGAATTAAATTCTGAAAATGTTTTTGTTTGGTTATTTTTTTAATAAAAATTTGCATTTTTAATTAATAAGTAACAACATAAATTGATTTTTATAAACTATAAGACGGATAAATTAAAGTGTTTTCTCGATGTTCATCTATTCATATTTTTGTATAAGTGTAATATGGTTGCAATAGAAATATGAAGATCACAAAATTACTTGACCTTGACGTGTCGACCGCTCTGGGTTATGAGGTGTGCAATTGGGTTTGGTATTGATTCTTATTGAAATAATTTGATGTGTAATTATTACACATTTATTTTTCATTTTTTATATTTTTAAATAGTCATACAATGTGTAGTTTTTAGCAAATTTCATAGAATTCTTAGAATTTTTTCTATTACTTACACGTCTATAAAAATTTACTGGTTCATGAATCCCTTGCAGACTGTGAATTACTGGAACTTCTTTGAAGAAAAAGATTGTATACTGAGTACGAGAATTTAACAAGCTGAAAAGTTAAATAATTTATAACCTATATGAATAAAAGGTTTAATTATATTTAAACTTAAGGTAGTTTTGTAGCCAAATCGCATACTCGCGACTAAAATTTTTTTAATTTATCCGAAGATTGTACTTATGTGGACTTTTAGAAAAAAAATCTAAAAAACGGTTGACCCTGAGGGCCATCCTTGGAACTTTCAGCTATGTACGAGTTCAAAACGCTCGAGAAAATATATATTCTGAATTTTCGAGCTCTTTGAACTCATAAACACAGCTTTTCTGCTTCCTCAAGCTCAAAAATCTATTAGTTGTTAAAAATATACTTTTTGAAAATTTTTAAATCCGATATCTTCCAATCGAATTAACAGTTTGATGGTGTTTGCAACATTTAACGATTCAATGTAAAATTTTGAAATCATATATTGAGAAAAATCCTTTTTTAAAATTAAAAAAAAATGTTAATATCTCAAAAACGATTCCACACCAATTTTGACAAAATTGACGACGTTCAACACAGTTTTTCGTGCACTTTTATAGTTATTATATTACATATCACAAACGATCTAAGAAAAAGTTTCAAAGTTATTTAAAATAAACACTTTTTTTGAATTTTTCCGTCATCGATTACTCTTAAACGTATATATCAACCGATTTTGATGCGAATTGAATCAATCGACGTCGTTTTTCAAGTTAAAAAGCTCATTAGATTCTAGAATTGATCATTTCATCTGTTCGAAAGTTGTTACAAAGAAAAGTTGTTTTGAAAATTTTATTTTCATGATTTCTCAAAATTTATCGGTCCAAATTAATTGAAGTAATATAAAAAATTTAAGTTTGGTAAAACACTTTCGATCACTACCAAGTTTGTTCAAATTGGTCAAGCTGTTCAAAAGTTATGAGGAATTAAGATACACACATACTCACCCCACGCGCGGTTTTGGGCATACCTCAAAGATTCGATATTTATACGATATAATTGCTAAATATTTACCATGATACTTTAATTATTTTAGCCAGTTTTTTTGTCGAATTTTTACAAAAAAATTAGGAAAACGGTTGACGCTAAAGGCCATCCCTGCAACTTCCCGCTAATTCGATACTTATGCGCTCCAAATTGCACTTAATACGTTTTTAAGCTCTCCGAGCTCAAAAATCTGCACGGAAAAATGTAAACTGTAATATTTACTCGGATTCCGGTTAATTTTTATAGTTTCAAACAGTAAAGCGGACATTGGGGTGGCAAAAATATAAATATTACAGAATTTAATGTAGAAAGTATAAAAGCCACTATTTATAATTTAATATCCAAAATAAGTGATTAGTAGCTGTCACTATAGTAAATAACGACTCTTTCATCTTAAAAAATTACAGTTTCAAACAGTAAAAATTGCCATTTCAATATATAGTCCATATTATGAGGAGAAGGGGAACTCGGATGAAAGAGAAGGGGGTCTCATTTTGGGAGAATTTAACATTTCAAACAGTAAAAATTATACTTTTAAAATATACATTTTACCAGTCCAAGCAAGTCAATAATTACAGTTTGATTTTTAGCGTTGCGTTTAAAATTTACCATTTTACTTTGTAAATATTGACGTTGCTTGTATTAGAAATTTACTAACTTCATTTTATACTTTTTACATATCATAAGATCATTTTTTAGGTACCAAATGATAAATATCAAAGTATGAATTCTTAATTATTATACTTAAGGGGGAACACCACTGTGACGATCGAAAAAAAGAGATGATTTTCAGGAATTTTTTTGACAGGGAAAATAAAGGAATTTGGGAATCGGATCTTTTTTATTTTATTAAGGGTACATTAAAGATTATTACCCTAAATTTTTATTAAAAAATATTTCATTCTTACCAAGTTTTTAACAATCTCGTAGAGCACTAGAAAAAATTTCCCCCTCCATGGTCGGTTCGATAACTCACGACGATAACTACATCCTTACTGATTAAAAAGCAATTTGGATTTTTATTTTCAAATGATCCGTTTTAAAGTTATCGAACCGACCATGGAGGGGGAAATTTTTTCTAGTGCTCTACGAGATTGTTAATAACTTTGTAATAATTAAATATTTTTTAATAAAAATTTAGCGTAATCATCTTTAATGTACCCTTAATAAAATAAAAAAAATCCGATCTCCAAATTCTTTTATTTTCTCTGTCAAAAAAATTCCCGAAAATCACCTCTTTTTTTCGATCGTCACAGTGGTGTTCCCCCTTAAACATTTTAGACATTTACATTAGCGAATATTACTGTTTGAAATAGGATTTTTTTCCATGTAAATAGTAAATTGTAATGTTTTAATGGTAAATATTATAAAGTGAATAGTAAAATCACGATTTTACTGTTTGAAATGGTAATTTTTAGCAGTTGATCATTACTTATTATAAATCGACTGTTATTTATTACAGTTTCCTTTTTTCCGTGCAAAATCGGAAATCTATAACTAACTATTTTTGAAAATTATTAATTTTTAAAGCTAAAAGTTAAAATTAATTTGTATAGATTATTTAGAAAAAAAGGTAATTCATTAAGTAATTTCTTACAGAGTGTTTTATAATTTTTTTGAATTATTGGCGCTCATTTTTCTTGTTGCAAGTGCACGCGCACTCTGTACGTTTTATTTTAAGACAGTTCTGCCATCTTGCATTGAAATTAATAAACTAGTATTCTTTTTTTTTCAGACATCATCGCCATCTAGTGTCAAAATACTAAACTGTAAACTTGCGGTCTTCCATTTCGCATTATTCATTCATTAGCTCACAAATTTTCCCGAGCTGGATATTTAGTGTCACAAAATTATTATAAATATTATCCACTTGTTATTATTTACATATAAAATAATAGTAATATACATTCAATAATAAGTAAGTACTTTTATTTATTCAATCTTTTAGGCTTATAATAGTTCTTAATTTTATGAGAATTAGTTTTTATTGATAGCGTACTGTTGTAACCTCTATACCAAACATGTCACGTGGAATTTTTATATTTTATAGAATATAAAAATTAATCTAATTAAATAATATCAATTAAATTATTTAATTGCATTAACTTTGTTTTTTTTGTTCAGAGAAAAAAATTTTAAAGTTTTAATTTAAAAAGTTATTTTATAATCAAGATATTTTTTTTTAAATACAGTGGTTGACATTTGATGACAAGATTTTTTAATTAATTATTAATTTTATCAATTATTTCATCTAAAATTTTAAGTAAGAGTTGACTTCTTTCTAAATGTCAAAATATTTTTTTTTTTTTTTTAGAAACAAAAAAATTGTTAGAAATTTTTTTTTAAATTAACTGTACAATTTTTTTTATAAAATTTACTAAGAAAATATTTTTTAAAAATGTATTCATATGAAATTTTTTTTAAATATTTTGCGGCCATCATTTTTCAGTAATTTATTTAAAAAAAATTGATCAGTTATAGAAAATAATTTTTTTATAATTGCATAAGTATATAATTTTTAAATATAAAATTCATTTATATTTTTTTTAGCCATTAATTTATTAAGAAAAAAAATTACATCATAGTTTCTTTTACAATTTCTAACTGAAATTTTTTAACCATCAATTTGTTAAAAAAATTGCACTAATACTTTTTTTTTAGAATATTCAAGTCATAAAAATTATAAATAATTTAATAACTAAATTTTTAAAATTATTTCTATCATAATTTTAAACTAAAAAATATTCAAGCTAAAGAATTAAATTTTTTCAATAAGCAAAAAAAGTTTTTCCATGCAACTAAATAATTAAAATTCTAATGTCATAACAAAATTTTCTAATTAATTTTATTTAAGTCATAAAGACTTTAAATAATTAAATAAATATTATTTTTAAATTCAATTTCTATAAAAATTTTAAACAAAAAATATTTCCATAGAACTTAATAATTAAAATAATTAACTAAGATTCTAATATTACAAAAATATTTTCTGATTAATTTTTTTAAATCATAAAAATAATAAATAATTATAATACTAAAATTTTTAAATCAAATTTCTCTAAAAATTAAAAACCAAAAATTATTTGTCAAAAAATTAAAGTTTTAATTTTTTCAACATACCAAAAAATCCTCTCATGAAACTTAATAATTAAAATAAATAGCTTAGAATCTATTATTGGGGCATTCATCAATTATAAGCTATGATTATGTGACTGAATATAGAAGAATAACTAATTAACAATACCCCTTTGTCAAAAACCTCGATTACTTTTTAAGTTTCTCGTAATTATCATTTGACTGAGTCTGATGACTGAAGGGACATCGAAAAATCCTTCTCTCTTACCAAAGGTATACTTAAAGTCAAATTTCAGTTCGACCGCTAAACTTTTAAAAAATACTTCCTTCTCAATACTAAATTAATCCTACAAACATTCAATATTATGAAGAATTAGACTGATTACCTACGTAGGAACAATTAAAAAAATTTTTTTTTATTGCGACTGGTGGGACAAGTACAAAATGTCTACATCAAGTTGTTTATTAAAAAAACTTTTATATTATTTCAACCTTAGACACATTATTGTTTATATATTTAACTATAAATTATTTAAGATAATTGAAAAAAAAAAAAAAACTAAATATAAAATTCATTTATATTTTTTTTAGCCATTAATTTATTAAGAAAAAAAATTACATCATAGTTTCTTTTACAATTTCTAACTGAAATTTTTTAACCATCAATTTGTTAAAAAAATTGCACTAATACTTTTTTTTTAGAATATTCAAGTCATAAAAATTATAAATAATTTAATAACTAAATTTTTAAAATTATTTCTATCATAATTTTAAACTAAAAAATATTCAAGCTAAAGAATTAAATTTTTTCAATAAGCAAAAAAAGTTTTTCCATGCAACTAAATAATTAAAATTCTAATGTCATAACAAAATTTTCTAATTAATTTTATTTAAGTCATAAAGACTTTAAATAATTAAATAAATATTATTTTTAAATTCAATTTCTATAAAAATTTTAAACAAAAAATATTTCCATAGAACTTAATAATTAAAATAATTAACTAAGATTCTAATATTACAAAAATATTTTCTGATTAATTTTTTTAAATCATAAAAATAATAAATAATTATAATACTAAAATTTTTAAATCAAATTTCTCTAAAAATTAAAAACCAAAAATTATTTGTCAAAAAATTAAAGTTTTAATTTTTTCAACATACCAAAAAATCCTCTCATGAAACTTAATAATTAAAATAAATAGCTTAGAATCTATTATTGGGGCATTCATCAATTATAAGCTATGATTATGTGACTGAATATAGAAGAATAACTAATTAACAATACCCCTTTGTCAAAAACCTCGATTACTTTTTAAGTTTCTCGTAATTATCATTTGACTGAGTCTGATGACTGAAGGGACATCGAAAAATCCTTCTCTCTTACCAAAGGTATACTTAAAGTCAAATTTCAGTTCGACCGCTAAACTTTTAAAAAATACTTCCTTCTCAATACTAAATTAATCCTACAAACATTCAATATTATGAAGAATTAGACTGATTACCTACGTAGGAACAATTAAAAAAATTTTTTTTTATTGCGACTGGTGGGACAAGTACAAAATGTCTACATCAAGTTGTTTATTAAAAAAACTTTTATATTATTTCAACCTTAGACACATTATTGTTTATATATTTAACTATAAATTATTTAAGATAATTGAAAAAAAAAAAAAAACTAATTAAAGAACACAAATAAAGGATTTAGCATGCTGACAACACGATTTTGATAAACTTAGGTGTTTATTAACAACGAACATAAAAAAATTTGTTCTTAAAACTATAATATTAAATATGTTAATTAATAACAAACATAAAATGAATTTGTTCTTAAAACTATTGAAACAACATTTGACCCGGATACAAGTTAGTACGGCTGAAAAGTTACTCTAGGGGGGCATTCTATGCGAAATGGGAAAATGACTAAAATTTTAAAATTTCTCTAATTCATTCTAATTTAGTCCTAATTTATTATTAAAAGTCTATATTTTTTTATATAGGGTAAATGCACCAATTATTGACCGATTAAGGTTTTCTTTTTCTGTACTAAGCTATAAAAAATCTATTAACCTACTAAAGACAATTTGTAATGGATTTTATTAAAGTTAAATACTTAATTAATAATAATTAATAACTATTTATAATAAAAATTAACAAAATTATATTAATTTTGTTATTTGAATCTTGAAATACTAAAATCACCAATTATTGACCGAAGAAACCCAATAAATGACCGACCGTTATCCAATTAATTGACCGCTCAAATAATTATAAGTAATTTTGTAAACTACATGTATGTAATTAAATATATGCAGTACTTTTAAAGTATTAACGACATCTTTAACAAAACTAAACACACAATATAATTTTAAATCGTACTTTTTTATAAAATAATATAAACAATAGCAATAATTAACATAAAGTCAAATTTCTTTAGGTCACAAATAATCACAAATTCATTTTAATGACGATAATTCTTCTGATTAACTTAAAATTTTTTTATTCTTCTCCTTCTTTCTTTCAATTAAAGCTTTTTTACTAGCTAGTAACTCTTTTTTATTTTTTTAATTGCTCAGCAATTTTTTCTTCTAATAATTCGTTCGTTGATATAACCGTTCACTAAAAAAATTAAAACAAAATAAAATTTAATAATTAAAAAAGATTTTAAGTATTATTTTAAGTATAAATATACATTTTATAATGATTATTTATATATTTACAAAATATTTAATGACTAAAGTACTTTAAACACTTAACAGATTTAATTTTAAGGTTGAGAAGTTAGTATTATAAATATACGGTCATTAATTGGATTGTGATAAAATCAGAGGGTCTAATAAATGACCGAATGAATTTTTTACTGGGTAAAGGACTTCTGACGGATCCAATAGTTGACCGGTCTTAAAATAATATTAAAACATAATTTAACTTTATTTTTTGCACTCATTCTCCAATTGTACGCTAGTTATTTTTGAGTGCTTTATGGCTGGTTGCGTTGTAAACAAACTCAGAATATTTTTTTAAAGCTATAATCACTGCGCAATTAATTGCGTAATTTTTTATTATGATGATTAAATGCCATATTTTTTTATTTTAATACTTAAAAAAAAAAAAAAAACCCTTGTAAAATATTAATTAATTAACTTTTTTATACATCGGTCAACTAATTGGTGACCGGTCAACAACTGGTGCATTCACCCTACTAGTTTGTAAACAAAATTTTTTTGAATCAATAAGAAAATCGATTTTTCTCGCCTAGTAACTTTTCAGCCGTACTAACTTGTATCCGGATCAAATGTTGTTTTAATAGTTTTAAGAACAAATTCATTTTATTTGTGTTTTTTGATTAGTTTTTTCTAATTATCCTAAATAATTTATAGTTAAATATATAAACAATAATGTTTCTAAGGTTGAAATAATATTCAAGTCTTTTTAATAAACAACTTGATGTAGACATTTTGTACTTGTCCCACCAGTCACAATAAAAAAAAAATTTTTTTTAATTGTTTCTACGTAGGTAATCAGTCTAATTCTTAATAATACTGAATGTTTGTAGAATAAATTTTGTATTGAGAGGGAAGTATTTTTTGAAAGTCACTATGGAATGGCTCTAGGAGAGAAAAATCGATTTTTTTATTGATTAAAAATGATTTTTCTTTACAAATTAGTAAAATATAAACTTTTAATAATAAATTTGAACTAAATTAAAATGAATTTGAGAAATTTTAACATTTTAGTCATTTTTCCATTTTGCATGGAATGCCCCTATTATAAACATATGTTCTAATTAATTTTTTTTAAGTCATAAAAATAATAATTTATTATTATTATAATTTTTGAATCAAATTTCTCTAAAAATTTCCAAAAAAAAATTATATAAAATTAAAAAAAAAAATTTATTACTTTTTTAAATGACCTAAAAACTAATTAATTAATAAAATAAAATACTAAAATTTCCCTAAATTTTCAGAAATGCCGGTGGCTTACGACGTAAAATCCAGCTGGGCTGACGAAGTAGAAGAAGAAGGAGACTCGTTGCCGCCTCCATCAGAGCAGTACATCAACGGGATGAAGATCCTAACCGAGTATAAATTAAACGAAGACAACAAGAAAGTAAAAGTAGTCCGTACGTACAAAATCGAGAAGCGAATTGTCTCTAAGACAATCGCGGTAAGAAAAAACTGGCCAAAATTCGGCGACTCAGTGAACGACAGGCCGGGTCCAAACCCGGCGACCACCGTCGGCGCGGAGGATGTCTTCATGCAGTTCATCTCCTCCAAAGAGGAAGAGAACAAGATGGAGGAGGACTCGCTGGACAAGCTCAAGAGCATGGGCGACAAGGGGATCGTCAAGTGCAGAAACTGCTCCGGAGAGCACTGGACCTCCAAGTGTCCCTACAAAGACACTGTCCTTGCCGGCGGAAAGGTCCCGGACGACAAGAAGCCCGCAGGGCCTCCGGGGATTTCCGGCGCTGCCGCCGAAGCCGGAAAGAGTGGAAGCAAGTATGTTCCCCCGAGCATGCGCGATGGAGGAAACAAACGCGGAGATAGCATGCAGATGCAGCGCAGAGACGACACCACTGCCATCAGGATCTCCAACCTCTCTGAGAGCACCAACGAAGCTGATCTCGAGGAACTGGTCAAGCCTTTTGGTATTGTCCAGAAATTATACTTGGCTAAGGACCGACAGACCAACTTATGCAAGGGCTTTGCATATGTTCATTTCAAGTTCAAGTCCGAGGCTGCCAGGGCTATCAATCACTTGAATGGATATGGTTATGATCATTTGATTTTAAGTGTCGACTGGTCCAAGCCTCCTGAGAAGAGTAATTAAATTCTCTTTTTTTAGGTTCCAGGGTGGCAATGTGTGCTTTTTTTTTTTTTAGTAAAAGACCCAATTATTGACACTAGCCTAGTTATTGATACTTGGAATTTTATTTTTTATTAAAAAAAAACAAATCAATTTTGATAAATTAATAAATGTCATTTTTTAATTATTAATTTTTTGAGAACATTTTATTTTTTTAATTGGAATAAAATTGCATTGGATCTTTGACTTGAAGTAAAAAATTTTCAGTTGGAAATTATTGTAAAAACAATTTTTTTTTATATTTGATTAAATTCAATTAAAAAATTAATTTAATTTAGATTTCTTTAATTCAGAGTAATTTTTATTGATAATACTGAAATTAATAAACAGTTTTTTTTTTTTGTAATAAATTACTATATAAAAAAAAATTTTAGTATCAATTTTTTTTATTATAATTAATCTGTTAAAAAAATTATTAAAATTGGCACTGAAAATTTCAGTATTATTAATATGTGTTAATAATTGTCAAAAAGAAATATAAAATTTTTTTTTAATATTTAATTTAATTTAGATTCTTTTGCAGAATAATATTTATTGATAATACTGAAATTAACAGATAGAAAAATTTTTTAGTTTTTTTTTTTTTTTAACGAATTATTATATAAAGATTTTTAGTATCAATTTTTTTTTTTACTATAATGGTTGTTAAAAAAATTATTAAAATTGTCATTAAGAATTTCAGTATTATTATTTTGCGTTACTAATGCCCTGAGTAAAAAAAAAAGTATTGAGACATAAAAATATTGAAAACTATTCGTTTTCTCGCCAATCCAATACTTTTTCTTTTGTCTCAATCCTTTTTTTTATTCAGCATTCTGGAAGAAAGTATAAAAAATTTTTTTTATACAATTAACTTGAAAATGTAAATTTATATTTGAATCTGTGAGAAAAATTAAAAAAAATTTTTTTTTATACTAGACCTTTAAAAAAAATAATTCTTGTAAAAAGGAGAATGAAAAAAAAAATTTTTTATTTTATTTTCTGACCATTGAATTTATTTGAAATTTTTGTAAATCAAGTTTTTGGCATTAGTAATTTTTTTTTTATTTCTAAAAAAGAATTAAATTTATTAATTATACTGAAATGTAAGAATTTTTTATCATGATGAAAAAAAAAAAATTTGCGCACACTACCATCAACACAATAATTTCTAATTAAAATAAAATTCTATCAATTGGTATCCAAAAAAAAAAAAAAAAAAAAAAAAAAAATGTAAATTTATATTTGAATCTGTGAGAAAAATTAAAAAAAATTTTTTTTTATACTAGACCTTTAAAAAAAATAATTCTTGTAAAAAGGAGAATGAAAAAAAAAATTTTTTATTTTATTTTCTGACCATTGAATTTATTTGAAATTTTTGTAAATCAAGTTTTTGGCATTAGTAATTTTTTTTTTATTTCTAAAAAAGAATTAAATTTATTAATTATACTGAAATGTAAGAATTTTTTATCTTTATCATGATGAAAAAAATTTGCGCACACTACCATCAACACAATAATTTCTAATTAAAATAAAATTCTATCAATTGGTATCCAAAAAAAAAAAAAAAAAAGTTTCCTTTATAATTTAAGCTTACATTTAAAATTCTTAAATTTTATAATCAATTGCTAATTTTCAATTAAACAAAAATAAAAAAATAGATAAAAATAATTTCACTTATATTTTACATTCACCACCTTAAAATTTCCTAAATAAAATTCTCCTCTTCTTTAACATAATTCTAATTTTTTACTTAAAAATTAAAAAATTCCTTTAAAAAAAAAAAAACATTTTATTTCTTCCAGTCTGTAATTCCTAAAAAGAAAAATTAATCTAATGGCGCCATCTAGCGTCAAAAAATAAAAACTACTTACCAAATTCCCCAACTACGTTCCTAAAATTTCCACCAGCGCCACAGTGATCTTCCGAAGTAAACAAAGCAGTCTCCATCAAAGGATCACCAAACTAACCGGTATTTATAATTTTTAATTACTAAATAACTAATATTAATGTTGTCAAAATACAAACCTAAATTAAGAGCCTAAAAATAAAAACTACAAGCTTATATTTAAAAGATACCTTCAAAATGGAGGAGTCAGTGCTAAAACTAGACGTAGCGCAGGTTAAGAAGGACATTTTGCTGGCAATAACCGACTGTTACCAGCGCGGGTTATTACACACAACAAAATGGCTGGCGGAATTAAACTTCTCTCTAAAAAACGTTCCCCCACCCCTGGAAAGCACCCAGGAGCTTCAACTAGTGGAAACTTCCCTAGAAGAAGACACCTACATCCTGGCAAAAAGCTACTTTGACCTAAAAGAGTACGACCGGGCAGCTCACTTTATAAAATCAGGAACGTCCCCAAAGTCCAAGTTCCTGTACTTCTACTCCCGATACTTATCAACAGAGAAGAAGAAAATGGACGACATGACAGACGTACCTCCCGATCCGCTAAAAAACGAGGACCTTAAGGCGCTGTGCTCGGATCTGCGTAACGAGCATTTATCCAACAACCTGGACGGGTTCGGACTGTACCTCTACGGAGTGACCCTAAAGAAGCTGATGCTGACCCGGGAAGCTATCGACATCCTGGTGAAGTCAATCCATGACTACCCGATGCACTGGGGAAGCTGGCTGGAGCTGTCCCCGTTGATCGGCGACCGAGAGAAGCTGGAGAACCTGATCCTTCCTGACCACTGGATCAAGAAGTTCTTCATGGCCCACATGTACCTGGAGCTCCAGCTGCTGGACGAAGGTCTCGCGCTGTACTACGAGCTCCAGGGGATGGGCTTCCAGAAGAACGGGTACATCCTGGCGCAGATCGCCATTGCGATTCACTACAAAAGAGACGCCGAAAAGGCGATAGAGACCTTCAAGAAGATCATCAAGGACGATCCCTACTGCCTCGACAACATGGACACTTACTCCAACCTGCTCTACGTCAAGGAGATGCGTGTCGAGCTCGCCTACCTAGCGCACAGAGCGACATCTATCGACAAGTACAGGTTGGAGACCTGCTGCATCGTGGGCAACTATTATAGTTTACGTTCCGACCACCAGAAGGCGGTGATGTACTTCCACAGGGCGCTGAAGCTCAATCCTCAGTACCTGTCCGCTTGGACCCTGCTGGGTCATGAGTTCATGGAGCTGAAGAACACCAACGGAGCTATCCATAGCTACCGCCAGGCGATTGAGGTCAACAGGAAGGACTACCGGGCCTGGTACGGCCTAGGTCAGACCTATGAGATCCTCAAGATGCCGTTTTATGGGCTGTATTACTACAAGCATGCCCAAAGGCTCAGGCCCCATGATAGCAGGATGATCCTTGCGCTGGGAGAAGCTTATGAGAAGCAGGACAAGATCCAGGATGCGCTTAAGTGCTACTACAAGGCTTGCAATGTTGGAGATATTGAAGGCATGGCGCTGATTAAATTGGCGACTTTGTATGAGAACTTGAATGAGGAGGAACACGCTGCTGCGGCTTACACTGACTTTGTCATGGACGAATTCAGGAATGCGGACAGGAGTGAACTCAGTCATGCTTACAAGTTCCTGACTCAGTATCACCTGAAGAAGGATCAACTGGACCAGGCGAATCACTATGCTCAGAAGTGTCTTCAGTTTGATGAGACCAAGGAAGAAGCCAAGGCTCTGCTGAGGACCATCGCTCAGAAGAGGATCACTGTCGAGGATATGGTCGTTATTGAAGATATGAACGAGACCGATCCTGCTGATGGCAATCAAAGAACTCCTGCTACCCCTGGGAACCAGATGGCGCCTATTAATCTTTCTTTCACTCCCACCCAGTAGATTTTTTTAAGACTTGTAGGTTATGTAATAAATATTGTCTGTACAAGAAATAATTGTTTTTTTTTTTTTTTTTTTTTTTTTTTTTTTAATAATGCTGAATAATCTAAAATAAATAAAAAATATGGCTGATTTTGTTAAATATCAGATAGTTTTTACCTGTCTGTGGTTTTTAATAATTATTTTACACAAATAATTGTTTTATTAGTTAAAATATTTTTTATTTTTAAATTTATTGATTTATTTCATCAAAAATATAACTTTTATAATAAAAAATAGCCGTTTTTTTATTTATTTTAGATGGAAAACATAAATTTAGTTTTTAAACTCTCTGTAAGATAGCGCCAAAAACAGGATATAGTACTACGTCACTGCCCCGCGAAAATTTGAATTTAAAAAAAAATTTGGTTTTAAAAATGTACCTCGATAAATAAATTATTTAAATATTTTTTTCTTTTCTTAATAAATTTAACTAATTTTTTTAAAAACAATTAAATTAAGCACATACTAATTATCTATTGATAATAAATAGGAAAAAAATTTTTGTGACTTGGTGCAACGAGCAGAGAGTGTGTGGCCAAACACGAGCGCAAAAATTTTAATCTACTAATTTTTTAGTTTTTATTGTTCATAAAATTAAATAACATGATACTTCCTCTAATAAACTTAACATTTATTTTAATAAATAATATTATATATTTTTTTTAAAAAATTTTTTTTTCTTTTGTATTGAAAAATAAAATTTTAAAAAATAATAAAATTAAACATGCGATTTTTCTAATGGTTAATTTTTCATTATATAAAAATTATGTGGATTGAATTTTAATATAAATTTATATTTACAAGGCAAAAAAATAATTTCATATTTTTATTTTTGCTTTTTATTTATGAGCATAATTATGTGACATCAATTAATATTAACTTAGTAATTAAATGTAATTGTAATTTATAATTAATTAATAGAAATTATTAACTATCAGATATATTATATATTATATATATATATAATTATTGCTTTTTGTACACTGCATTTTTTACATAAACACAAAATTATAAATTTTTCGTACAATTTTTTTAGAAAGTTGTCAGTTTTTCTACTTTGTTTGATTTTCATTCTAATTACACTCAAGTATTTTTTTTTTTGTTTTTTTTATAAAGTAATTGCTGTTTTATATTTTTAAGTCCTATAATCTCAAAGCACGTGAAAAGTTGCCTGTAAATTAGTTAAATACAAAAATTAACAAGGAAAGTATTAAATGTTTGGCATCAATTTTTTTTTTAACGTTTAAAAAAAAAATTATTAAGAAAAATTTTCATTTTTTTTAATGGCTTGAAATAAAAGAAAAGTAATCTTGCTCTTTATTTTCTTCGATACCTCTGGAAATATTGGATTTTACAAAAAAAGTACAAGATACCTTTTTTATGGAAAATTTAATTTTCTAAAAAAAAAAGATTTCTTACTAATTTTTCATATTTATCCCAGAATTTTTGTTGTAAACTTTAAAAAAAAAATCAAAAGATTTTTTGAAGAAATTTATTTTCAACTTCTTAGCTCGTTTTCGGCCTAAACATTAAAAATTTGGAAAAACTAAAAAACCATTTTTTAAGAAAATTTAATTTTCTATAAAAAAGGTCTCTAACAAAATTTTCATATTTACAATATTTACCCCTAAATTTTTTTAATAAACTTTAAAAAACAAAAATTCATAAAATTCATAGGAGAAATAATTTTTATGATTTCTAAAATAAATTCTGGCTTCAAAATTGAACAAATTTTTTAATATTTAATTTTTTTTTCAATTATTAAATTAGAACTAAAAAATATTTTTTAAAAATTGCACTTACAGTTTTTTAACTTTTTAACAAAAGAAAATTTTTTTTATTATTTTGTAATAATTGTTTCAATAAAAAAAATTTCTAAAAATTTTTAGATGTCGGCCAACTTAATTTTCATCTCCTACAAAATTTTCACATTTTCAATATTTACCCCCAAATTTTCATAACAAACTTTAAAAACCAAAAATTCATAAAAATCTTCAAAAAAATAATTTTCATGATTTTTAAAATAAATTCTGGCTCAAACATCAAAAATTAAAAAAAAATTATAAGACTTTTTTTTTTTTAATTTAATTCTCTACAAAAAAAGGTTTCTTACAATTTTTCCGTATCTTCAATATTTACCCCGCAATTTCAATTCTGTCATTAAAAAAAAAATAAAATTCACAAATGAAATAAAAATAAAAAAAAAAACTATTGTCAATTATAAAAAAAAAGTTATTTATTTTATTTTGATTATCAACAAAAATTATAACTAAATTATAATTAAACTTATTAACTAAAACTAAACCATAAACTGTTAATATAACAATAAATAAAAATAATTAATCAATATCAATATTTATAAAAAAAAGCACCTACAGAATTATAATTGTTTTCGTCTAATGTGTTTATACAATCGTAAAAACTATCCAAAAAATTGTATCATTAAAGCTTTATTCACAAGTAATGACACATAACTTGAATTTAAAAAAGTAACCTTATTAATAACAATCAATTATTTTCTTCTTTTTTTTGTCCATTTTAATTTTTTTATAAATCGTATGCAAACTAATTGTAATTGGCAATTATTTAAGCAAATACGTACAATTTTAAAACAAAACACTAGTTTTTTTTTACATTAATTAATTAATTATTAATTTACATCAATTAATAACAATAATAATAATAGAAAAAATAAAACCGAGAGACAATAATTTTTTTAAATTGCACGTTTGATGAATGTTTATTGCGTTAATTTATTAATCACATGAAATTATTTTTCTTATCAAAAAAAAACGAAGCTAAGGAAAATAATTTTTATCACAGTATTAATCAAAGAGGCCACGTATCATAAAAAAATTATTAGTCTCTCGTTATGGCAAAAAAAAAATAATTTTTTTTTTTTTTTTTTTTAAATTACCGGGTCCGGGATTCGAACCCCGTGCGCTCTGGGTAAGAGTTTCCGTGCTTGGTCACGTCGCCAAGGGAAATTAAACTGATCGATAAAACAAATGATATGTTTGGTAAATCGATTAAAGTCGCTAATTCTATTCTATATTTAATAATAATAATAGTTGTTAATTAATTAATTAATTAATTAATTAATAGTTTAGTATATAAATTTAACATTAAGAGCAGCGTGATTTTATAAATAAAACTAACGCTATTTATAAAATCAAAGTGTTACAATCTATCTTGTTAAAAAATGTGAACATTGAATCCACTTTTATTACGTATATATGCGTTTGTACCTTTTTTAGTAATTAGAAGTTTTGGTATAGACATTTTGTTATTAAACTTATTTTATAATTTTCGTAAAACGGATTTAACTTGATATTTTTTATGCAAAGGCACCCGCTCCAGAATCCAATGTAATAAAATAACGTGTGACAAGTGTCAAAAGGATGTATTAGAGAAGTGAGATAGGATTTTGTGCCAAAAGGGAGGATAAACAAATTTTTTTTACTTACTTAACAATTTTTAAGGGGGTATTCTGGTCTAGAAGCATGAATTTCAGGTAATTTTTTCAAGTGCCGTAAAAAAAAGGCAATCAATATTTTTATGTTATTTATTAAGATTATAAAGATCCAGAAAAAAATATAAAAACTTGAAAATTCCAAAAAATTAGCAGATGAAGTGGAGGGGGTCTCAAAAAATTGGCACGTGACCATTAATTTAAAACAAAAAAATAAAAGCGATTATTAATCTTGAGTACACGGAAAGAACAAGATGACACTGGATATCATCCCAGATTATACTCATTGATATTTGTGATGAAAAAAAATTTCAGATAGTAGCTAAAAAAATCCAGATTATACTGCGTGATATCTGGATTATACTCATTGCAATCTGGACTATACTCATTGTAATCTGGATTATCTAGCTACTATCAGAAATTTTTTTTCACTCAGTATAATCTGGGATGATATCCAGTGTCATCTTTTCTTTCCGTGTAATGTTGCTATGTCTGAAATTACGGTCATCCCCAAATTTCAATTTTTATTATTTTTAAAAAATTCTGAAAAATCAAAAGTGGAAAATACTGGATATCATCCCAGATTATACTCATTGATTTATTTGTGATGAAAAAAAATTTCAGATAGTAGCTAAAAAAATCCAGATTATACTGCGTGATATCTGGATTATACTCATTGCAATCTGGACTATACTCATTGTAATCTGGATTATCTAGCTACTATCAGAAATTTTTTTCACTCAGTATAATCTGGGATGATATCCAGTGTCATCTTTTTCTTTCCGTGTAATGTTGCTATGTCTGAAATTACGGTCATCCCCAAATTTCAATTTTTATTATTTTTAAAAAATTCTGAAAAATCAAAAGTGGAAAAATTTTTTTTCATGCAGTCGCTATTTCATAAAAAAAATTTTTTTCAACTTTTCCCCAGTTCCAGACGTAGCGAAATTACTCTAGATTAATAATCTTTTTTATTTATTAATTTTTTTTTTCTTTAGATTGCTAGGATTGGAATTGTGGACATGGTCACGTGCCAATTTTTTGAGACCCCTCCCCCTCTACTTTATCAACAGCTAATTTTTAAAATTTTCAACTTTTTTTAGTTTCTTTTTTTTTTCTATATTTTTATAATGTTAATAAATAATTTTTAAAAAATGTATAGTAAAAATATTAATTGCTTTTTTTTTACGGCAAAAAATTACCTGAAATTTATGCTTCTAGACCAAAATACCCCCTTAACATCAAGATCATTAAAAAAAAAAATCATTTTAATTACTAGAGCCAAAACACAGATCCATTGGCTTCAAGATAAATTTTGGCTTAAAATCACTAAATTTTAAAATTCTCAAACTAGAATTTTATACATACGCCCTTTTGGCTTACAAAATTTTTTTTTCACTTTTAATCTTAAAATATGTTTACAAAGATTCGCAAAATAAAATTTTCTACGCCTTTTAAAATTTTTTTTTTCACTTTTAAGCTCAAAATGTTTACAAAAAAAATTATGTTTACGCTCTTTTGGCATTTGTCACGCGATAACACATTTTTTTTTGTATTTTTTTTTTTTTTTAGTAATATTAATAGTAATAACAAATAATAATTATAATAATCGACATTTGAATTTTAAAAAATCAAAAAAGCGAAGAATTTTTCAGTAAATCCAAATGATAAAAATAAACAAAAATTTTTTTTTTTTTTTAAAAAAAATATTTTTTTTGTTATCAAAATAAAAATTTTAATATGAAAATATTCCACCACCAATTTAGAGAAAATTTTCAAAAATAAGTAAAAAAATTATATACTACTATATATATAATATATATAAATGTTAAATACGAGTCTAGATTATTAATTAAAAATTTATGATTAATTAATTTTCTACTAGTGAGATTAATTAAAAAAAAAATTTTTACACTTACAATTAATTTTTTTTTTCTAATTTATTTACAAGCAAAATAAAAAGATTATTTTTAAGCCTCGTCTTCACTTTTGTTTTTAAGTTAGGTTGTTTTAATAATTTGAAAATTTTTTCTGCAAACGGACGGAGGAACGCGATTAAATGGACTTTAGCAATTTTACATATTTATATATCATATATAACACGTTAACTAAAAGAATTAATTATTATTATTATTATTATTTATTATTAATATTTTGTTTGATCAAAAATTATAAGTTATTAATTTGATCTTTAGAGTTAATTTTTTTTTTAATTAATATTAATATTTAAATACACACCCATTATAAATATAAATATATGTATGTATGTACGTTGAGATATATATATTTATAGCTTGAAAAAATAGGCACCCAATCATCAATGGGAGGCATTATTAATAATAATAACAGCTAATGTTAAAGTACGTGTGATATTGGAGGTCATTCACCGCTAGTTGTGCTACTGCCTCCTCCGTTTACTCCGTTTGGGCTGCTGTAGTATTCTGCAGCGTCACCACGGCAAATTGGACATGTTCGGTTTGACTGAAATAATTATTTAGATCAGAATTTTTGTTTTTAATTACTTAAAATTATTAATTTTACTAGCAACCTAGCAGTCACTATGTAACTGTCGTGACTTGTGAGCTATAAATAGATAAAATTTTGCTTTGTTAAATAATGACTTTTGTTAAATTGCACTGTACTTTCTTAAATATTGACGTTTTTGAAGATATAAGCTCATCCCGATGTTATACTCATCAAGAGTTTTCATTTGAGTACCCACATGCATTTTCATATATTTTTCATATATACATATATATAATATATATAAATATATGAAAAATTGATGTGGGTACTTAAATGAAAGGTCTTGATGAGGGTAATGTCGGGGTGAGCTTATTTCTTTAAAAATGTCAATAGTTCACAAGATATTTGCTAAAATGCTCTGTATTTTCTTAACTATTGATGTTTTTAAAGATATAAACTCACCCCGATGTTACACTCACCGATAGCTTTCATTTGAGTACCCACATGTATTTTTGATATATTTTTCATATATACATATAAATATTTGATGTGGGTACTTAAATGAAAGGTCTCGATCATTGTAATGTCGGGGTGAGCTTATGTTTTATAAAATTTCTATAGTTCTCAAGATATTTGTTAAAATGCACTGTACTTTCTTAAATATTGACGTTTTTGAAGATATAAGCTCGTCTCGATGTTACACTCATCAAGAGCTTTCATTTGAGTACCTACATGCATTTTCATATATTTTTCATATATACATATATGTAATATATATAAATATATGAAAAATTGATGTGGGTACTCAAATGAAAGGTCTCCATCATTGTAATGTCGGGGTGAGCTTATATCTTTAAAAACGTCAATAGTTCTCAATATATTTGTTAAAATGCTCTGTATTTTCTTAACTATTGATGTTTTTAAAGATATAAGCTCACCCCAATGTTACACTCACCGATAGCTTTCATTTGAGTACCCACATGCATTTTTGATATATTTTTCATATATATAAATATATAATATATATAAATATATGAAAAATTGATGTGGGTACTCAAATGAAAGGTCTCGATGAGGGTAATGTCGGGGAGAACTTATATATTTAAAAATCTCAATAGTTTTCAAGATACAATGTCATTTCTTAATTATGTATCTAGAGATAGAGCATTTTCGAATGCAGCCTAAATACTTATCATTATAAATTGACTATTGGTGAGAATAATATGAAATCTTGAAAAGGCACAAATTCAAATCACGACCTTTGCAATGATACTAAATTTCACTAAAAAAACTGATTTTATCATAGGACTATCCTGACACAAAATTTTTCTTATTCTCATAATAATACAGATAATAATAAAAATTACCTTAAGCCATTTATCAATACACTTAGAGTGAAACTCGTGAGAGCAAGGTAAAACTCTGAGTGTCTGAGGCGGTTCAAAATCACACATGCAGACAACGCAGTTAGTCTGGTCACCCTGGTGAGTCTCGGCATTAAACTTATACGAAGGCAATTGGTCGACTTCGGCTCGTGTGAGTCCTCTGGGTTTAGCCTCTCCAAGTCGCTCGGCGAGCGACAACAGCGCCTCGTAATTTTCGGTTTCTGCATTCTCCGGTGATGACATATCAGTTTGACTGTATGACGATAATGGTGGATTACTAAACATTGCCCTTAAATTAATAAACACAGCTAATTAATTAATTAAATTAATTGAGTTTAATCCAATCAAAAACAATAATTAATTTAATTAATTAATCAATTCATTTTTTCCCACCCTTTACTTAAACCCTTTATACTTCAGGTAGTTCAGGGGTAAGTCCCAAATTTTATTTAAATATTTTTCATTTTTTTTTTTACTACACCTAATTAATAAAAATTCCTGTATAATTTAATTCATTGACTTTAATTCATATTATTGATTGAATAATTATAAAATAATTAATTAAATATAAATTGACTATTAACGAACTGTCACTCGACAAAACCAACTGTTGTTTATTTAATAAGGTTGGTACTTAAATTACAATTGTTTCCCTTGATAATTTATTATTTAAATTTGTAAATAAAACTTCAGCATGTCAGCTATTTTATAATTAAAACATTTACTGTTAGTATATAAATTATTATCCAAAAAATAATGAACCGTGCAAGAATATCTCAGGAATTTATAAAGCAAATTTCAAATTTCCCGCTTAGAATTTATCCCGCCATTTCGTGAACAAACACGGAGGAGTTAAGGTAGTTGCCATGTTACAATACTGTCAAAAAATTAGAGATTATACGCGCCGCAAAAGTATATGAGCTTGTAGCTAAGTAATCCATAATTTTTATGCAAGACTGTACCCGTGGAGACACAATCCATACAATTGTTTCTGTCCGACTCCGTAGATATATATACTTTTACATAAATTGTTGAACTTTAATCCGTTATTTATAAATAATTAGACGGTCAAAAATTTGTTTTTATTTTTTTTAAACTCACAACAAATTCATTAAAAGACTGTCAGTTTTTTTAAAGTCTCAGACAGTTAGTTTTTTTTTTTTTATAACTAAGAAACTGGTACAGAACTGCAGGGAGCGTATGCAATCAATGTTAAATATCCAATTTTTAATTGAATTCATCTTGGGTTCTAGGTGATCAATCGACTTCAAATTTTAAGGGTAAATATATCAGCATGTCCTTAATAAGTATACAAAAATTTAGAATTTTCTGACGGTATGCATTAACCACGACAACTACCTTAATGTCTTCGACAAACAACAGAGATAGAAAACTAAGGTAAAGTACCCAGTACTTGAACACTTCTAAAAATGGGACCAGTAGTTGAACAGACTTTTAGAATTGCTGTAATACAAAATCTGTATATATATATTATGAGTCATATGCGCATGTTATAATTATTCAATGATACAGTAATTGATTTTGATAAGTTTTTTCAATTATAAATCAAAACAATTACATTTTTGTTAACTTTAAAGTTGACATGTCGAGAATCGCCGATAGATGCTATTTTTTTCATGAAAAAGATACTAAACCGAACAATCAGTAAAAAAAACGGTGTATCATCATTTTAAGTGAAAAAAATTGTACCACTCAATGAAATAGTCTTTTCTAAATAATACATATTTTTTGCAAAGACATAAACTATAATTTTTATATTAAATTTTAGCGTTCGCAACTATACCTCCCAATTTTCAAAGCGGTACCCAGAACTTGAACAAACTGGGACCGTATAATTTTAACAGCACTCTAACCTTTAATAGGTTTATAGATTAGTGATCAGTATTGTGATTTGTATTAATTACTGCAAATTAAATAAGTTTTATAACTAAAAATTAGTATATTTAATAATTATTGAACGTTTTGAATTGAGTTTTTTTGATTTATAATTGAAAATTTACTTTGTCATTCATAAAAAATGTAATTAAAAAATCAAATACAAATATTTCTCATTTTTAAATGATCATATTAAATATTTATAGTATTATTCAATAATATGTTATAAATCTTTGAATATTTCAATAAAACATTAAAAATTTTTGGTATGCCTATTGCCATACATTTTATTAGTTCAACTACTGCTCCCAGAGTGTTCAACTACTGCGGCTTGTCAGAATTGATTGTGCAACTACTACTCCCTGCATAGTCTATCTTAAAAACGTTGTCAAATTATAAATATTCAATTATTTTGCACTTCAATCAATTCAAAATTGTTTATATTTTCATGAAAATTACTAATTTGAACTAATAATTACATATTTATATATTAAAAGTAAGATCAAATACGTTTTACTTCGAAACCTGTTCAACTACTGGGTACTTTATATTAGTTGTAATATTTAAAAATTAATTAAATTTTTTAGTAGCATTTCTGTTCAAGTTTTAAGCAAGTCTGGCTCAAAAATCGTGTTGAAGTATCTGAATACAGATTTATACAATTCTTGGACAAGAAACTTGTGTAACACAGTGTCATTTAAGGTAGTACCCTCGCCAGAGGCGTTTTTTTAGGAATTTTTTTAAATTTTGGCAGATTAATATTTATATAATTCTGCATCGATTGACGCAAATTGAAATTTTTTGACCATCTAGTTTCAGAGATATTTAATTTCAAAGTTCGAATTTTTAGAGGAGCTTATGCACTGTGATACACGGGATACCGAAAATTTTACTCGTATATTTTATTATAACTAAGAAACTTTTTTTAAGATTTTCATAAAAAACTAAACTACTATTAAAAAACAGCTATTATTTGTTTTTTTCAAACTTTCATTGATTTTTATCTCTAGATTTTTAAATATTATTAAAAAATAACTGTATTATTCAAAAATAACCATGAGTAGAAGTGAGTAAGGAATAGTAAGTGAGAAAGACAAAAATATCCTAAACTATACCTAAATTTACTCGCACTATATGTCGCGAGGGTATTACCTTAAGGAGGTTCGAGCGTAACTTATGAGTCAAAATAATGTTAAAATTTTTTTTTACTTTCAGTCTTCCCTTCGTCAAAACTGTTTATCTTAATTTAGAATAATTCAAACAATTTAATAATTGATAATTTTTACTTATTTAATAAAATAAAGTAATAAAATGACTTTCTTATTTATTACTTGCCGGATTAAATAAACAGATTTGGCAACAGCGCGTTTGATTATACCCATTACAGAGACGTGGATGAGTGTGTGAGTTAAATAATTCTCTCTCTCTGTAACTATATTTCTATCCTTTTCTTTTTTCTCAGCTGTTGACGCGACGTTGCCAAATCTTTATTCGAATAAATAGCTAACGATAAACGAGTCAAAAACATAAAATTTAACTTTAAATATTTCCAAAATTATATCGGTAATGTATTATTATTAAATTTTTTTTATATTTTACAATAATCCAAGTTTCTTGTGTATAGTTTTTTATTCGTTTAAGTTGGGAGGTTAATATTGAAAAAAATAATTAAAGTCTCGACTGAAGTTTGTCCGCCATAAGAGCCCGTATATAAGGAGATAAAAAATGTGATTTTTGAAATTTAATATTTAAGTAACTAAACGGTGAATCTTTTTAAAATTTTTGGATTAGATAAATGACGTATTTATTTATACGTATACTTAATTTCAAAGCTCAAAGTTGGAAATTATTTTTCACATTAGATTCACTCGAACCTCCTTAAAAGCTCAAGTAAGTCTGCAAAAGTTTAATTAATTATATATTTCCTAATCACTGATATTAAAAAATCTTATTTTTTTCTATAAATTAAATTTTTCGGATAAATAAAAAAATTCCGATCAAGTTTATGCGATTTGGCTACCAAACTACCTTTTAAATTATAAAAAAACTTACAAGAAGTGGAACAACAGTCCTGCGGGATAAGGTGGGGGCATAGGTGGCGCTCCTCCACCACGTCGCCAGTTCGAATGCGGGTTCTGTCTCGAGCGGTTCTGATTCCGGCCGACGGCACTGCGCCTCGTTCGCGGCTGCATCAGCTCCATCTGGTTGTTCCGAGTCTCCGGGAGGAACATCGGCGATGGTGACGCCACCTGGGCCGCCAACGCCGGTGGGGAGTAAGAGTGGGACAGCGTCATCGGTGGTGGGGGTTGAGGCTGCGGTGGTGGGGGCCCGGGTGGTCCATTTCCTCCCACTCGGTGGACATGCGGGTGGTGGTAGTGCACGTGCGATCCGTCGATCAATTCCGGGTCAACTTCTCGCTGTGGAAAAATATTTTACGTTAGTTTTATTGTTGTTTTATTTTCTGCGAGGTTATGTTATAGTTATCGGCATGTTGAGATGATTTGCTGGTGGTTGAGTACCCACGTCAACCTTTAATAATTATATTTTGGTTCTGTTGGTAAAGGTTGTGGCTGAGTATACTCACTTTGATTTTTGTAAAGAAAAAATTTAATTTAGTCGTTATTTTAACATTTTTTGGTTATTATTGTGGGTACTCTGTTTAGTTTTTATTTTATTGGTAACTTGACTGAGGTTATGATACAATTTTGTCAATATTTTTTAAACTATAGTGGGTTTACAAAAAAAAATTATTGAGACTTTTTTTGTTCATCTTTTAATTAAGAACTTTTTTTAATTAAAAATTTTTATGTAAAGTTAATAGTTCAAAAGTTATGGAGTTTTTAAAAATGTTGAGGTTATGAAAGCATAACTCTAGATGTTGAGGACATACTAAATTATAAGATCAGTTTTTGGCTAAACGGTAAGAGGTACGAAAAAATGAAAATAATCGTTTTTTATAGGAATTAAATTTTCTATAAAAAAAGTCTTATCATTTTTTTGTATCTTTAATATTTAACCCAAAATTTTTATTGTAAATTTTGAAACAAACTCATTAAATTCTTTGAAAAAGATAGTATTTATAATTGAGTTTTATTCTGTCTGACTAGAAATACAAAAATATCATAAGAAACTTTTTTTTTTAGAAAATTAAATTTTCTACACAAAATGTATCTTAGGGCCAGTTTTTCAATCCAGGATAAAATTTTATCCAATGATAAAATATATCTACATGTCTCATATATATATATAAATATACTGGCAATAATAATATTATCCTGGATAAAATTTTATCTTGGATTGAAAAACTGGCCCTTAAACTTTTTTTATATTCCCAATATCTCTGAAGATATAGAAGAAAAGTAAAGTTTACTAAAAATATTCCATAAAACATTTCTCAGATGTCCCAAGAAGTCAAAATTTTTATTTCAAATTTCTGGATCAAATATCAAAGATACAAAAAAATAGAAACCTTTTTTATATAAAATTAAATTTTCTATAAAAAGGGTATCTTATAATTTTTTCGAATCCCGGAAAAATGTTAAAATTTTGAAAAATTCATTTTATTTCATTAAAATTATTATTAAAAAAAAATTATAATAATAATAATCATAATATTTTTTTTTGTAACAAAAAATGGAGGTGCTTGTTTTTCAGGAAAATTGTCGGGGTGAATATTACAATTCTTATTTTATAATAATTTTAATGAAATAATATGAATTTTCCATAACTTTAAAATTTTTTCCGGACTATTTTTTCCGATTACCAATTTTTTCATATTCCCAATATTTCCAAACATATAAAAGAAAAGCTTACTAAAAATCTTCCATAACATTAACCAATTCTTGTCCCAAGAATTCAAAATTATTATTTCAAAATTCCGGGTTAAATATCCAAGATCCAAAAAAAATGATAAACTTTTTTTTTAGAAAATTAAATTTTCTACAAAAAAGTCTTATAATTTTTTCATATTCCCAATATTTCCAAAGATACAAAAGAAAATCTTACTATCTAATTTTTTTTTTTTTTTATTAGGTCTTTCGCGCTTCAGCCTATTGGCCTGGAAGCGGGGGACTACGTCCCATCCTATTTTCCTATTCATCCCCACTTCAGTGGTCCTCTCGTCTTCTACTGGTTACTATCTAATATTAGAAAATCTAATATTTCCATAAAAGAAAAGCTTACTAAAAAAATATTTCATAACATTAGTCAAGTCTTGTACCAAGGATTCAAAATTATTATTTTAAATTTCCAGGTCAACTTTCAAAGATCCAAAAAATTGATAAGAAACCTTTTTTTATAGAAAATTAAACTCTCTACAAAAAAGGTATCTTAAAATTTTTCCTATCTCCAATCCCCATCCGACAATAAAAATAAACTGAAACCCTGATTGAGTACCGACATCAATAACCCTAAAAGAATTGAAAATTCACATTACCATTACCTGCTGAGGTATCTGATGGTGGGCCGTATAGTGTGTAGTATGAACAGGCGGCGGTGGATGGGCATGTATGGTCGGAACTCCAGATGGCGCAGCGTATCCTCTTGCGGTAGCCGCAATCAAGCTGTGGCCAGGTGGTGGGGGGCCGGCTGGATAATGCGTGTGGTGGTGATGATGAGTAATCTGGCACGAGTAAGAGAAGGGATGAGCGGTAGTGGGCGGCGGGTAGGTTCCGTGAAGATGGCAGGACAACCTGGCGGGGTGGAACCCAGTAGTAGGCCAGATGGCTTCTCCACTGACAGTGACACCCAGACCAGACACTCCAACCTGGTTTACATCAACGACCAAGTTGTTGGTCCCCGTTGACGGGTGGTGTCCAGTTCCCTGCTGGATGGGGTGTTGGTGACCCTGATGGCCATGATGACCATGCAGGCCGTGGTGCGTATGAGTATTATGGAGCCCATGGAGATTCCCAGAGTGGAGATTGTGATTGCTGTTATGCAAACTATGATGGGCCCCATGGAGATGCTGCTGGACCGTCGGGAAAAACTGGTACCCGTTGGGGAAAAGCGGGTCTGGGCACCGCACATAGCGGTTCCTGATTGGCGGGCTGCCTCTGACGGCCATGTGTTGGCGCGGAGAACGCCTTTGTGGTGCGGAGAGCTCCCAAGGCGCGGCGTTCGACATCAGAGGCGGGGATTGGGTCGAAGAAGCTGGCTCTTGCTGGTGGCTGGCCAGCTGGTGGTGCCCCGGGTGGTTCTCCAGGTTACCTGCCAGCGAAACTGGACCCCCGTTGCTCCCCACGTTCATACTGGAGGCGCTCACTTGGGCGTTTCTGGAAATACGACGGCGCTTTCGAGATGGTGACTCGCTTTTACGACCCTCTGGTGTGTCCAGTGTTGACTGTCGGTAGTATGCTGGTGGGGATTGCATTGGAACGTTCGGGCTCAATGCGGAGAGATTCGCCGCCTGCGGAGCCCGTCGGTATTCCAGGTCAGAGTTCACGCTTAGTGATGGGCTTAGGTTCATTAATGGACCACGCATCGTTGAGCTTTCCTGGAAAGAGAGTTTTTTGAGTATAAAAGTTTTTTTTTTTTATCTATAGGAAGGAGTTGAGTTAGAAGAAAATTGATGGTATGGTTTATTAGATTTAAAAGCTTCTGATTAAAATTTTGGTTTGGAGGTTAATGATAAGAGATACGAAAAATGTATAAGAAACCTTTTTTTGTAGAAAATGTAATTTTCTATAAAAAAAAAAAAGGTTTCTTATACATTTTTTTGAATTTTTAATAATGCACTTGTAAAGATCAAAAGCTAATTTTTTGATATTTTATGAATTGCTATCTTATACGTCTAAATTAATTTTTTGGAATAGATCTGACGAAGGGTTATCCTTTAATAAATTATTAAAAAATTGAAATTTAACATGTAGCCTATTAATCCAAAATTTTGATTTTAAAATTGTAGAACAAATTTATATTCAACATTTGAATGCTTTTGAAGCAAATTTTAGTTTTGGGGATAAATTGTTAGAGATAGGAAAAATTTATAAGAAACCTTTCTTGTAGAAAATTTAATTTTCTATTGAAAAGGTCTCCTATGATTTTTTCGAATATTTAATATGTAATCTAAGATTTTGATTAAAAAATTGTAAAGCAAACTTATACAAAATTTGAATGCTTTTAAAGCGAGTTTTAGTTTTAGGGATAAATGGTTAGAGATACGGAAAAATTATGAAAGATTTTTTTCATAGAAAACTTCAATTTCTATAAAAAAAAGTTTCTTATAATTGCTTTCGAATTTTCAATATTTAATCAAAAATTTTAATTTACAATATTTTCGAAATTATAGAGAAAACTTATATAGAAAATTTATATACTTTTGCCGAGAGTTTTATTTTTAAGGCTAAATGGTAAGAGAAAAAATTTGCGAGATTCCAACAGGTTATGGGCTCAGGAACCTGGTTTAGATAATGAAGTAAACAAGTAAAAGTAAGGTTTCAAGTTAACATAAGGATTTTAGTTAACTTAAAAAAGGTAAAATAAAGTGAAGCACGGTAAACTGCATAAAGTAATGGTCAAGTAAATTAAAGTTAAGGTGTTATAATTGAGAGATTCGCTATTTCCTGAAGCTAAGGTATTATAATTGAATGACTCTTGATTAGATAAAGTTGAAGTAAAGTGAAATGAAGTAAAGTTAAAGTAAAGCTAAAGTGGAGTTTGAACTGTCAAGTAAAGTTAAAGTAAAGTCAAAGTAGAACTGTCGAGTAAAAATTGAGATTCCAACAGATACCTTTTTTTATAGAGAATTGAATTACCTATAAAAAAAGTTCTCTTACAATTTTTTCGAATTTAATCCAAAATTAAAATATTTTTTAAGATTGTACAACAATTTTACATACGAGATTTGAATACTTTTACCGCAATTTTTATTTTTGTAGCTAAACGATAAAAAATACTGAAAATTTTTAAGATACTTTTTTCTATAGAATATGTAATTCTCTACAAAAAAAGATCTTTTATCATTTTTCCATATCTTTAATATTTAATCCACAATTTCAATTTTAAAATCTTTTTCAGACATCAGCGAATTTTTACCTGGCCGCAGATATTTATTCTTAATGGAGGCGGTGAAATGGCTCGCCGATGGTTAGTAAGAGTGAGATCTGATGGAAAATGAGACGATGATGAGGGTTGCGATGACTGACTCGGGGGTGGTTGGGTGACACGGTTTGTGTGCGACGGGGGCTTGTAAGCTACGTTGGTGTTATTTGGGCCATGGTATACTTCTTTCACCGTAGGGTTTGATGATGAACTTACTCCTGAGTCTCTGAAAGTAAAAGAAAATTTTTTAATAAAATATTAATAAATTTACCCTTATAAAAATAATTTTAAATTATAATTTAATTATTAATTTCACTGTACACCTCAGTCGACAACACTAGACTACTATAATATTCCATTATTTTCTTTGATATCTCTAGAAATATTTGATTTATGAAAAAATTGTAATATCTTTTTTCTAGATAATTAAATTTCCTTAAAAAAAAATCTCTTATAGTTTTATATCTCCAATATTTAGGCCAGAATTTTAATTTTAAACTTATAAAAATTTATAAGAATAATTTTTGAAACTTCAAAGTTAAAATCTCGCTTAAAAATTGAAGATACGAAAAAATCTTAAGACACTTTTTTTTGTAGAGAATTAAATTTCTTAAAAAAAAAAGGTCTTATAAATTCATCATATCTTCAAGATTTAGCTCAAAAATTTCGATTGTAAACTTGGAAAAAAAAAAATTTACAAAATTTCTCAAAAAAATAATTTGCCCAAATTCTGACCTAAAAATAATTTATAAAAAAATATTAGGATACCTTTTTTTGTAGAAAATTAAATTTCCTACAAAAAAGGTTTCATATCTTTATTATTTAGCCCATGATTTTGATTTTAATCTTTTATCAATAATTTCTTATAATTTTATAGACGAATGTTGTCAATGTCGACTGAGGCAAGGGTTCGATTCCCGGCCAGATTTTTTTTTTTTTTTTTTTTTCAAATACAGACAAAATTCTATATAAATATATTTTTCATAAAAATAATTAAAAACCTGCATAAAATTTAAATAATTAAAAATCGATAAAGATTTAGAGCATTCAAATTCCACACCAGAGAGCGTGCAAAGAAGAAAATAAATTTATATAAAAATCACGGAATTTTATTCCAAGTAACAAAAGCTTTTTTTTTACATACTATTGTTTTATAAATAATTAATTAAAAATAAAAAATGGAGGATATTTATCTTAAAAAAAAATGAAATAAAATAATAATGATTGATAAATATAAATTATAAGGGTTAGGCAACAAAATACCCATTATGATATCGTGCGGAGGATCCTTGACGATAGGGGTACTCCTTATTGTTGAACTGCTGATTATGCTGATTAAGTTGATTATGAGAATTGTGAGAGTGTGAGTGCCAGCTGGAACGGTTGTGGCTGCTCGGAGCTGAACGGGCCAATGCTGGCCCAGATCCTGATCCGGCGCCGCCATTTCGATACCGTCCCTGCATGCTCATGCCCCGATGATGCTGATTACCCGGATTCATTTAGACTCTTTCACAACTTTTTCAATAATTCCTTTTCTTTGTTACGAACGGACTTTATTAGACTTCTTGTCCTGGATTTATCCCAGAGGCCGAGCTGATATCATGGCCCTCTGAGTATACACAGGATTCAGCTGCTGCCGAGGGCCAACAACAGCGACCTGGAGTTATGACATTCATGCACTATTTATTTTATCTTATTTACGTACTTGTAATCTAACTGATATTTTTGCTCAATAATTGGAATTTCTGCCCGAAATGTGGAGGATAGGGAAAAATTATGAGACCTTTTTTTTATAGGAAATTCAATTCTCTACAAAAAAGGTGTCATCATTTTTTCATATCTTCAATATTTAACCCAGAATTGTGATTTTAAAATTTTTTGAAATTTTAGTAGCCCTACACAGAAAGAAAAATTTCTTAAATGGAGAACAAAATTCTTGGCTCAAGAAAATTTTCGAGTGCCTGAAGGAAGACCGAAGTTGTGTTGGCCGAAGTCAAAATTTTTCTTGAAATTCTATTCTTGGTGGAAGTCATTTTTTCTTAATTTTATCATAAATACTTGATACAATAAATTTTTATATTTGATCAAGATTTTTAGATACTTTAGGAAGCAGCGCCACCTTCTTCAGCTGAGAAAAAAATTTTCTCACCTTGAGAAAATTTTTCTCTTGAATATTTTATATTATTTTAGCGTGCAATTATACATATTGAATGAAAAAAATGATTCAATATTAATTGATCTTCCCATTTGACATTCTAATCAATAAAAATATTAATGAAAATTTACTTCTATCTCTATATTGAATTTTTTGGAGCAAGAAAGAAATTTTTTCAAGACAAGAAAATTTACTTCTATCAAGAACAAAATTTTTTGGAGCAAGAGGCTGAATTTTCTCAAAACAAGATTTTCTTGACTTAAATAAATTTTCTTGGATCAAGATACGTATTTCTTAAAGCAAGAGAATTAATTTTGTTGGAATAAGTGAAATTTCTTGTATCAAATAAAAAATTTTTTTTCACTCAAGAAAATAATTAGGAAGAAAAATATTTTCTTGGCTCAAGTGAACCTTTTTTTCTGTGTATATACCAAATTTTAAGAGTTTTAAGGCAAATTTTGTTTTTTTTTTTTTTGTTTTTTTTGATAAATGGTTGAAAATATTGAAAAATTATATGAGACTTTTTTTGTAGGAAATTGAACTCTACAAAAAAGGTATCTTGTCATTTTTTTGTATCTTCAATATTTAATCCATAACTTCGGTTTTAAAATCTTTATAAGATTGTGGCACAAAGTTTAAATACCAGATTTAAATAGTTTCACCGCGAGTCTTTAATTTCTGGCTAAACGGTAAAAGATACGTATAGTAGGAACCATAGGAGACCTTTCTGGAAAGAAATTAAATTCTTTACAAGAAAGGTATCTTATCATTTTTTCATATCTTCAATATTAAATTCAGAATTCCGACTTGAAATTTTTTCTGAAATATATCCTAAGCATATCCTTAACTGTAATTTTTTTTTTACACCAAATTTTTCAGCAAAAGTATACTTTAACATAAATATTTATATTTTTAATAATTTTACAAGTACGTATAAATTTTTTACATAAACAAGTGTATAAATCGTTAGTCATAATTAGTAATTTAAACTATGTAATACAATTATCAGTACATTAATATCTTCCCCCATTTTTTATTTTTTACAATTAATTATTAATAAATTATTTTATAACATGCAAGTTGTTTTCATGCTCAAAGAAAATTACAAAACAAAATTTTTTTTTCTAGATAATAAAGTATATAGTTCTCGAAATATAAGTAAAATTTCAAATAATACAAGTTGAAAATAAAAGTATCTGTCGAAAATCAAAAATGACGACCTCGGATCATAAATCAAGTAAATGAACCGCTTGAGATAATATTTATTTTTGTGAATAATTATTTTACAATCCGGAGAAAAAAAAATTTGTTTTTTTCAAATAATCATTAATCATAATAAAATAAAAATATTTAATCCACAGATTCGGTAGAATCTGGCACCAAGTTCCGTTCAAATCCGTTGTCAACGGAGCGCCAGACTACCGACTGTGTTTACTGTAAGCAAAACGGTATTTTGAGGTTGCAAAATTTTATTTAATTATACGGTACTTTTTTTCCTAAATTGTATATTATAACAGTAATTCATACTTTATTTTACTGTTATCAATTAATTATATTCACTTATAACAATTAATCTACTTGAAATTACTAAATTTAATCAGCACAAACTATAGCAACGCAAAAATTTCGATCCTGACTTTTTTTTCGATGGGCAAAGTGATCTGCCACAGACTAAATAATTCTAGAATGCATAGTAATCCTTCATTAGATGGGAAACTACAGTCGAAAAAAGATATTTCACAGCTTGCATCTACACCCGCCAGGGTGCGCTGCAATTATTTTTACATAAATTGTAGCTTCAAGGGGATAGTTTGCTATAAAAAATACAGCCAACGCGAGATTTAAGTTGGTATCAATTGTAAATTTTTATTTTAATTACAAAAAATACTAAAATCCGAACAAAAAAAGTTTCACTGTAAAAAAATCGCGCCAAGTCCACCAAAAAAAATTTTGTTGTAAATTTAAAAATAAAAAAAAAATTTTGGAACGTATTTAGTGTGCGCGGTTGCAAAATATTTTACTTTTAACTAAATTCGTAAAATCTATTTACTAGGACTTTAAAAAAAATTGAAATACACAATATGACGCATATATATACCCTACACTTAATAGTCTTATGAACATGGACTTGGCGCAATTTTTTTACAGTGAAACTGTTTTTGTTCGGATTCTTTATAGTAATTTATAGAAATAATTCTTAGGAAAAAAATTATTTTCCCAAATTCTGACCTAAATATAAAAGATACAAAAAATGATGAGTCTTTTTTTGTAGAAAATTATCAATTAAATTTATCATATCTTCAATATTCAACCCAAAAATTTATATTATAAACTTGGAAAAAAAAATTCATAAAATTCTTTAAAAAAAATTTTTCTAAATTCTGACCTAAATATACACTGAGAAAAAAAAAATACTTTTATTAAGAAAATTTTCTTGATACAAGAATTTATGTTCTTGAAAATTTTCAAGAATATATATTCTTAGCTCAAGAAATTGTTAAATTGATTGAAATAATTTTTACTTAATTTAAATAAAGCTATTCTTTTGTTTATTTCTTATCCAAAGATAAATATTGATGTTCTTCTCTTCAGAAATTAATAATTAATAACAATAGAATATTTGATCGTCAGCGAGTTTCTTGAGCCAAGAAATTGTTAAAGAAGTACGAGCACCAAGGCAACTTTTGATAAAAGGCTTGATTTTTTTTTTAATATGAAGTTTAAATATGTCTAAACAAATTCCGAAAATTTGAAGGAGATTGCCCGATCATTTAAATAAATAATTAACTTTAAAATAATAAATAGGCAACATTTAAAAAATTTGACACTGAGTTATTTTTTATAGTCCAAGTTCCTGATAATTTTCATTATTATTATTAACTTTAAAGTTGAGCAATTTAACATTGGTCTTATGGGGTAACCTTCAATTATTGATACATTTCTGTATTTTTCTCGTAAAACTGTCGGTGAATATTTTTAAAAAACTAATGGATGAAAGTAAATATATTTATTAGTGATAAATTTAATTCAAAAACATTTACACTTGCCCGACTAATTCAAGTGTATTAATTAAAAGAAAAATAAATGCCGCCACTAGCCAATGTTAAATGTATATCTATATATTGAGAAAAATCATATGGTTACTGCGTTCCCCTTACCGAGCTAGAGTCGATACCTGTCCCCACCTCGCCTGGCGCTCGTACTTCCTTAATTAAGCAAAAGTATTTTTTTTCTCAGTGTATAAGATACAAAAAAATTATAAGAAACCTTTTTTGTAGAGAATTAAATTTTCTAAAAAAAAGGTCTTGTAAATTTTTCATATCTTCAATATTTGGTCCAAAAATTTCTATTATAAAATTGAAAAAAAAAAAAAAATTTATAAAATTGAAAAAAAAATAATTTTCCCAAATTCTGACTTAAATTCTGATCTAAATATCAGATATAAAAAAATTATAAGAAACCTTTTTTTGTAGAGAATTAAATTTTCTAAAAAAAAGGTCTTATATATTTATAATATCTTAAATATTTAGTCCAAAAACCTATTAAAACTTAGAAAAAAAAAATTATATCTTTGAAAAAAATAACTTGGGAAAATCCCTAACTTCTGATTTAAATTCTGACCTAAAGATAAGAGATCTTTAAAAATTATAAAAAAAAATTTTTATAGAGAATAGAATTCTCTAAAAAAAAAGTTCTTTGATAACATCTCCGTATCTCCAATATTTAGCTTTCAATGACTTCAATAAGAAGATTAAAAATTTTCCTAATCCCGTAACAATGCCGTCTGTCCTTTAAATCATAATCTAATTATATAAACTTCCCCTTGCAGAGTTCGTCCCAGAAAAATAAGAATATTTGCTACTCATTAAAATTTTCCGCCCCTAGAACCCAAAAGAATGGCCAAAACAAACAAATTACCTTGCAATAAATCACTGGGAATTACAATACAGCGTTATTATTCCAAACAATCGATGATTACACGGGGAATCAAAGATTTAAAAGTAAAATTTGGGAATACCCTTATCCTTGGTAAATGCTCAACAAAACAAATTGTTCAAGTAAAGAATGTATAAGCGCCCGCATCTTGTTTGAAATTTCGACAATAAAATGGTTCCTCCTAATTTTGTAATGCCCGAGCAAACAGTGTACTTACATTAGGGCCGTACTTAAGTATATTTATTTATTTATTGAAAATCAAACCCAACAGCCAGAGCCATTAACAGGGTTAATAATACATATACAGAGTACTTATAAGTAGAAAAATTTAGTTTTTAAGTACAAGACAGTCATCTGGCGCGTAAACATATTTAATTAGATTGAGTCCATATTTGACTCATTTATATT